CAGTCATGTCCATGTGATGTTGACCATATGTAAAAAACATTTCTAATGAATTTGCAAGAAAATTAAGTACATTTAAAATGCATCATGGCGTACATTAAAATGCAATTCAATATATACTAATTGCTAAAACAGCTACAGTATTAATAAGAGTATTGGAACCAATACAAGGCTTTAATGAACAAACTGAGCAATACACACACTGAAGGAAGGCCTGGGTGAAGGGATGGCTCTTTAACTGGTGCCTAAGGCAAGCTGCAGCTGATACTTCCTGGATGCGGCTGGGAAGTCATTCCACCAGATGGGCAGCTCTCTGGGAAAGGCCTGCTTCTGGGTTGCTACCAGAAGGAAATCTGTGGACTGATGAACCACCTGCAAAATGATGACGATCTTAATACTCCGATCATCTTAATCACCTCGCGGGACAACTTGGGAGAAGTTGGGGTTATTCTGATCACCACTGGGGCATTTCTTATTGTTTCCCAACCAAACAGTCCTCTCCCTGCACACCATTTTAATGGCTGTTGTATATAATGAATTTCTCCAAGGGGCATGCAGTGAACAGAGGGTTCCCACAAAGGTTACTACTGCAGGGCTGGCCCAAGAACTTTTGCTGTTTGAGGCGAAAGATCAAATAGTGCCCACACCCACTTCCATGGGTAGCACTCGCTGTTGATTTTTCCCTCAGCTTTGCTGCTGGGATCATATGTTCCACCACACCTGAGGGAGCGGACTAATTTAGGGGTTCTAGCACAGGATGTATGCACCCAGCTCGGTTCTCCAACAGAGGCAAGCAGCTGGGGAAAGCAAAGGCAACATCCCAGGTCGTTCCAGCATCTGCTGCCTGAGGGTAGAGCTGGCCCCAATCTCATGCAATAGCAAAAATCTTTACTGAGGTTTAGTGTATGCATGACTGAACGCAGTGGGACTTATCAACGTGGCCAAGAACGAAGACCAAACTGAGTCTAGGGCAGCAGGACACATGCACCAGGTTGAGCTTTGCATGTGTCTTGGTCCAAGAGGCCCATTTTAGAGGTGTGGCTTTTACTGGCAGAAATGTGGCAATCGGGGACCATTTCTTAGGGTCTGCAGCTTGGTTTGCACGATTCTCCTAGGCTCTCTCTCTCCCTTTCCCCTTTCTTCTCTTAAAGCTTTGGGAGAGGAATTGTATGAGAGCCTATGCAGTTTCCACACTGGTGTTTTGTTTTGCTTTGCTTTGTTTTCTTCAGATGCAGAACTGCAGCACGGATTGTACCAGCAGTGAGGGTAGAGGTGCCAGCCAAGAGACACCCACAGCTGTTGGCCTTTCTCCAGTTCAGGGTGAATCATGCTGAAAATCTGCAGAACTGGTTTTCCAGAGATTGGCCCACAACGGAGAGGATGGATGTCACTCTGGAGTGCAACAACAGTCTAACAAAACTGCCTGCACTCTGTTGGATGTAACATCTGTGTCCAGATCAAACATCTTTGATTTGTAGGTCAAGCTGTTTTTATGCCTTCCTCTATCTTCTTTGCTTCTGTTTGTGTATTATATTTACATTTTGCCTTTGTTTCCTTTTAAGGAACTCAAGGAGGCTCATATAATTCTCCCCTCCTCTCCATCTTCTCCTCACAACAGCCCTGTGAGGTAGGTTGGGCTGAGTAACTGGCCCAAAGTCACCCAGTTGGCTGAGCGGGGAGGAGAACCCAGGTCGCCTGAGCCCCAGCCCCCTGCTCTTAGCCCTTTGGTTGGTTCCTCCCTTGCCTTGCTCCTCGCCTACTCCATATGAACCAAGCTGTCCCCTCCTTAAAGCTCCTGGATTCGGAGCCGGCCCCTTTCGCACATGACAGCAGGAGCTGACCGGAGTTCTCCTTCAGATTTTCTCAAAGCCAGGCAAGGCAATGGTGCCTTTTCCACGGGCACCCCTCTGCCCTCATTGCTTGCATCCACGGATGGCTGTACACGTATAAGGTGCCTTCGTGTGAAGGATCTCCCAGCTGCAGCTTCTCCTCTCAGGCTCCGAGGAAGACGCCGATGCGGAGGCGCTTCTCCTGCGCGGTCGCCCTGCTCGCTCGCTCGCTCGCTCGGGCTCTGGGAAGCTCCGTCCCGCGGGGCTCTGTCCAGGGTCCTGACAGACTCGGCCGAGCCGAGCCGAGCCGAACCCGGGCTGGCTGGACGCGGCTCGGCAAGGACCCGTTGCGACCGAGCCTTGCCGGCAGGACTCCGACCTTTCCGGCGAGGCTCAGCCCTTCAGTTCCGTTCCCGTGCAGTTCCCGCGGGCCTCCAGCTGGGGCGGGGCAACGTGCCCTCTTGGGGAGACCCTGCAGAAGTGCCTGGGCCCTTCACAGGGGATGCAAAGATGCCCCCCACCCGATGCACACACGGGACTAAATTGAAGCACTAGAGCTAGTGATGTCTGGGAATTATTTTCATTATTATATTTATTTCATTACCATTTTTCTAGCCCGGCACGTTTTCCTCTTGCAAGAGACCCAGGCTGGCTTATGAAATCTTTCTCCTCCTCTCTATTACCCTATTACCGTTTTATGGGGTGAGGAGTTCCCTTTTTCTCCAGGAGCCCTGTCATCCCTTTGCATTCTCCCTTTCAGTGCAGTCCTGTGCATGCCTATGGAGATATGAGTCCTCCTGCACTAATAGGACTTACCCGCGAGAAAGCATGTTTATGATTGTAGCCGCAATGACGTGTAACTTAGAGCCATCTCCAGTGTCCACCTGGGACTTTTGCTGTACTCAGTAAGCAGAATGAACAACCTGTGTCACGCAGCTCCCAGCTTACATCAGGACTTTAAAACAATTTATAGGCACTCCTATATAATCCACTCCAAGTGGCATCCCTATTAAAAGCTAAGCCATGCTGTTAACGATGGCATCCAAGGAGTTGCAGCATCAATTGTCCACTGATGTGTCAAGAAGGTTGCCATTCCATAAGATACACACTCGCACACACACACACACATGTGCTATCTTACACCCCCTCATTTTATATATATCTTATATATTATAATACTATATATATAATATATATATATATATAAATGAAATGGCAGGACAATTTCTTAAAAGCATACAAGAGCAATTCTTTACAGATGATGCACAGAGAAATAAGTATCAATTATACTTAGTGAGGCTAGTACTTTAATTGCAATGTATTTTTTATTGCTGTCGTTGTCTGCTCTGTGCTTTGCAAGAGCATTAGACAGGTGGGATATCAAACTTTCAGACAGACAGACAGACCGACAGACAGACAGACAGAGGTTCCTCCTATGTCAAGAAGAGTCATCATCAGCCCATTGCTTGACTATCCAGGCATCCTGAACCAAACCCAGCTAGGACGGGAGGGTGTGGACCTGAGAGATGGGTGGCGAGCGATAATGACAAGCGAGGAGGCGTCCCCCCAGCCAGTAAATGCCACATGCCACCCAGGGGCAGGCACTGCTGAGCTCAGGCCAGCTTAAAAGCATGTGGCATGGGAAAGGTTGGTGTGATTCAGCTGGGAACTTAGCCGAGCTGCTTGCAGGGCCAGAAGCTGTGGGAAGGTGCACCAAGAGAAGACTGGCCCTGCCCGGTAAGAACCGAGCGGGAGTTCCTGAGGGGTTAATTGGTGAAATGGGAAGCCAGAGCTAGCGCTGGTGCCTGGCAGCCATGGGCAGCTGCAAGAGCTCTGCCAATTGGAAGGGCCCCAGGCGATGTCTGACAGAGGCCCTCTTTTTTTTTTAAAGTTTCTTGGCCCTGAAAAGCTACCCTTTAACTTCCCATCATCACCTTGACCTAGCATTGCGCTGGGCCCTTGTGGGAAATTAAAAGTGCTGCTTCACCTGTGCGCCCAGCATGGTGCAGAGCGGAGCTGCTCCTGCCAGTAAAGCTATGAGGACCCCGTGAAGAGGACGTCCACTGGGAACCTCTCCCCTAAGGCCCCTCAGGCCTGGAGCCAGCTTACATGATATGCCTGGGCAGTAGGTTTATAGCACTTGGGATGCTGTGTCTCATGGCCTGGAAAATTCATCCCCCCATTCCAATTATGTGTTCTTCAGTGGTGCAGGACTCTGTCCGTGCTCAGAGCTGCTTTCTTAAAATTGCGTGTGGCACGGCTAGGCTGAAATTAAACTGACCAGTTTGATGGAAGGAGCAAGGGTGCTGGTGTCTGCCATCGTTCTCCAAAGTCTACTTGAATGCTTACCTCATTTCAGTTCTGGTCTCATTTGCAACCTCCAGACCTACTACAAAAACAAAAACAAAAGCCTTCATTGGAATGGGGGAAGTGCACATTTCAAATGGGAAAATGCATGTTGGTTCACATTTTTCAAACGTACGCAATTTCTCTATGCTGACTGAAGCACGCAAATGTGTATTTTTAAATGTGCATGTTAAAAGGGCACACGGCTTCAAGATACAATGATTTGACACAAGTGCAAGTTCAGAAATTTGTGAACTTTTAAAAAATGTTCCAAAATACAGTGCAAGCAGAACTCATTCAAGGATTTGTTAACTGAGGCAAAATTCTTGTATGTCCAGTGAAGGCCAACTCAGGGACTACCAAGATGCAATTCCCGAAGGGCCTTGCTGAAGGCGCTGTGAATACCCTTCAGCAGGTTCCGGAACAGAGAGAGATCAGAAATCTGAACTGATTGCCTCCAAGGGAGCTTCTGGAATCAAGCTAAGGGCTGCGCGAGATTTGGATATGGACCCCTTGAAACACTTGGCACAACCTTCCACAGACTTTAGACCGTACCAGAACCACACCAGCCTGCCAGTGGCTAAAAGTTCTGTGAGGAAAGCGCTAGTGTCAAGTGCTCCCATGGCAGTATAGCAGTGGCCCAGCTCCTCATTTGCTATTTGGGTGAATGTTACACGAAGGAAGCGAAAGACACATCCTCTGCAAGTTGAGGCACAGAAGCAGTGCTGCAGGCCAGCGCCTACTGAGAGCTGCAGGGCTCTTTTCCGCCTGAACTTGCATAACATTGTGTGCAGAATTTGTCACTCCTCTGTCAGGCAGAGAGACGCAATGTCAGGTGCGTTTTCACTAGCCCAGTTGCTTCAGAGCACCTGCCATCGGCCCTTAGGGCTCCACCCCGTAACCCCACTCCCTTTTTAAAGCAGCTAAAACCAACCAGCCCGGGCTGCAGACTGCCTGCCACCCACCCTGGGCAGCTGCAAAATCGCAGCTTCCCCTGCCTTGCTGTACTTGATCTTCTCTAAGCAGCAGAAGCTCTGCAGGCCCACAGGCAGGGTTCTCCCATCTCCTGCTACCTGGTTTTCTCACTGGAGATGCCAGCCAGGGAATGAGCCTGCATGCAAAGCGCCTTCTTCGCATCATTGCCTTACGAGCTACTACATTATCATTGGCTTTGGAAGGGGCAGCCAGCCTTGCTTTGGCCCCGGCTCTTCCATCTTCCAGCTCAGAGCATGGGCTCAGAAACAGACTCATGGGCCCCAGCTTCTGCACTTGTGCAATGGATCCTGGGATTCATCATGTCCTTTTCTGCAGCTGCCAGAAAAAGCAAGGTGTCTTGCACAGCCTTAGGTATCCAGTCCAACATGGGCTCCAAGTCCATATCAGTTTTGATAACCAACGTTTCACCTCCTTCTTAGGCAGGAACAATCCTAGAGAGATCTCTAGCCACACGCTGCTTTCTGCTTGCTGCCATGCCAGGCCTAAAGGAGCTGGCAGGTGTGTTACTCCTAGCATCTACTGGTAAGTGTAGAAGAAAGGGCTTCCTGGCCACATTGTCTGCCTTTGCCAGTTTGCATTTGCCATGGTCTCTGTTTATTTCCAAAATACCAAAGCATGGAATCATGTTTTGTGCTTCTCAAAGCAGGGGGATGTTCTAGGAGGCAGGGTTTTCATGGGCAGCTCCCTTGCGAAGGCTAGAAATTTATGACATTTTTGCAATGACATTTTCATTTATCTAGAAGGATACACAGTGAGCAGGGGAAGCAGCTGATCAGAAGCAGTTTTTATTCTATCATTGCTGTAGATTTATTGCATCTTACAGTGCCTATTATTGTTATTGTTTTAACTGAGTTTTATTTATGGTTGTCAGCTGCTTTGAGAAGCAAAACTTCTCTCTTCCCCTGGCCAAATTCAAATCCACACAATTTCTTTTCAGACCCCTGCCCAAGCAAGGTATCTGAGCATTAGTTAGAAGTCACCAACCATCCAAATGCATTCCTGTTCTTTTAAACAATTGTTTTTGGACATCAGTGCCTGCTGAGTAAGTACCTTCCATTACTGGCTAAGAAACCAAGAGGAAAAGTCATCTAGCTTAAGAGTCACAACCCAATTTCTGTTTTGGCTTAAGGCGAGCATCCCACAATCTTTGTTGGCTTTCCAAATAACCGGACAAGGAATCCCAGCATGAAATAAAGGACCCTGGTGCACTAGAAGTTCTTCTTCCCCACTGAGGAATGCCTCTGTTTTGTTTTTTGCTCCAGTTCTTTTCCTGCTTCCCCTCTATAGCAACAGAATTTTGGAACCAGCTCCTCCAGTAAATGCTTGACCGCTACTGGGATGCCAGGTCAGGGCACCAAAGAGGGGCAAAAGGCAGGGTGGGACTGAAGCACGATGTTCTCTACTCCTGCTCAAGGTTTCCAAAGCTCCTTCTGTGGTAATTTGCTGGCTGACATCTTTTGCAGTGCTCACCCAAGTTGAAGAGGGAAGGATCATCGGAGGTTATCCCTGCCTCCCCCACTCTCAGAACTGGCAGGCCTTTTTGAGAGGAACATTCATTTGTGGGGGAGTTTTGATTGCGCCATCCTGGGTGGTTACTGCCGCACACTGCTTTGGAGGGTGAGTCTGTGTCTGCTCTCAAACCAAGCCTGTGATCCATCCAGTCAACAGCTCAGAGTCATCTCTGTTGACTGGAAGCAGGATTTCAGGCATGACAAATACCAGGAGACACTTTCCTGGGCCTGCTGCAACCCTAACATTATTTTAAATAGAAATCCTGGGGATTGAACCTGGGACTGCCTATGTGAAGAGAATGTGCTAGGTCCCTGGGAGGTGTCTTCCAACCAAAAATGGGTAGAAGTTCTGGAGAGCTTCAGCTGGAGACCGTCTCCATGCTCATGGTCTAGTTGACTGCCGTATCTTCTCTGGTCGCTTGCTCTGCTCTGTGTGGGACAGCTCTCTCTGTATTCGATGGGCTGTCAGAAGACAGTCCTCTCTTTGAACGTGTCCTCTGTCTGAAACAAACCCTTTTTTAAAGAAAGAGAACCATGAGACATCAGGGTGGCCATACATCCAACTATGCCAAGAGTCCTCCGTGCAATGCCACTTTCGGCTGAAGCACTCTAAGAAGCAGGCCTGGCAGAAGAGTGGTTGGTGGGACTCTCCAAAGCCCCCACTAGAAGCGGCTGCACACCCCCTTGGTGCTGGCAGCGGGCAGAAGAGGGGCACACTTGGCTGCTCTTCCAGCTGTGCCACCTGGTGCAGAACCCCACCCTGCTTCGTGGGTGAGCCGTCCCTGGTAGGAAGGGAGAGTAGCAGTACTGAAACAACACGTCAATACTGGTCAGATGACATAGGTACCTAGACCACCTGGTCACAGTCTTCTGATTATGGTGAGATATATTGTATTTCTATTCAAATGGCAGCAGTTACTTCTAAATTTGCAGCTATACAGACAAATTAGAAAATGCTAATTTTATGCAAATCTGTGCCCTCATTTGTCATCTTTGCTGGGGATGTGCAAGGGCCCATTGTGGAGAGGTGTTTTCTACCAAGTCATGTAAGTCGCTTTCGCCTTCCTCTGCAGCACGTACATTGGTCCGCCTACTTAAGGCATCTGGATCCAGGGCTAGACTTAACCAGGAAGCAATGTAAGAGAGTCACTTCAGTCAGCATATTCCAGGGGCTGGTCCCATATTCCTGCCTCCTGACATGGTCTGGAGAACGTCATCTTAAAACAGGAGGGATGCTTCAGTCCCCGGCAGAGAACTGTCACGTTCACTTTCTGTGTTAGATGCAAATCCTAATCTTCATCTAAGTTGGTATCTGAATTGTTTTACTAAATGGTTCCTTTGGCCAGGCTAGCCTCTCTAGCACCTTCTTTGCTAATGCCTAGATGAGGAAACTAATCTGAAGTGGGGTAAAGTTGGAGTATGGTCTGATCAGATGTGTAGAAATTCCAAACTGCAGACCTGGGGTGTAGATTTAAATTTGTGTGTGTGTATGGGGAAACAAGTCGAGATACCGGGAGATCTGTGGTCAGGAATCTGAGAGGTAAGTCACTCAGCAGATGGAACTGTCTTGTTTCTTGTTGCTGTAGGGAGCAGGTTTAGAACAAAGGGGTGGAAATTGCAAGGAAGGAGATTTCAAGAGAAACTTCCTAAGGGGAGGAGCTGTTCCAGAGTGGAGCGGCTGCCTCACGAAGTGCTAGGCTGTCCTCTATTGGAAGCAGTGAAGCATAGGCTGGATGGTCATCTGTCAGGGATCCTGTATTTGCATGGATCTTGCAATAAGGAAGCATGGGTAGATCCTATGCAGGGATCCTGTAGTTGCAAGACTCCTACAGTGAGCAAGGGTGGACGGACAGATCTCTGGGTGATTTGCAATAATATCATAACAGCAATTTAGTGGCTCCCACTCCATAATTATACTGCTGAAATAAAGAAAGTCTGGGACCACCAGATAGCAGATTTTGTGTGCTCAGATTACGAGCTCAGTTCATTTCTGGTATTCCAGATAAATTCCTGGACTCAGAATTCTTTAGCACTAAATGTATGCCTTTCACACCTGCCCTTGTTTGGTATGTCGTGTAAATGCAACAAGACTGAGACCTGCCTGCTTTTAGTCACTGGATGACCTCCAACACTTCGTCCAAGAGAGTCCAAAACAACAGTGAAGGAGGGCATGATGGCAAGGCAGAAGAAACTAGACTGATTCTCTTCCTTGCCATTTCAATACAGGGCAGTAACTTCTCAGGATATACCTAGTAGCGATGTTGTAAAATCCATTCTTCCACAAGTCAAGTACGATCAGGTTCTCATTCCATCAACTACCCATCAACCATTTTGTGCAAATGTATCTGGAAGCAGATTTGCACATTCCCAAAAATCTCCCCCTCCAGCTCAATAAATCAAGTCCACCAAAATGCATGTTTCTATACCTTCACTTATGATAGAAAGGGAAATATTTGGTTGATTTTTTATTTTTTTCTAGATGCATATTTGCATAAAAATTGGAAGTTAAAATAAAACAAACGATCTGCAAGTCTGCAGAAGCCACACAATAGGGGAAAGGAAGGTCTGCTGTGGAATCTATTAGGAAATTCAAACTGATTTGAATCTGCTGTGGATTTCTCCAAAGTCCTTGCCCGTGGACATGATAAGAGGCAACTAGACAAATACTGCCATCTTGTGGATAGATTTTAGCTCACAGGTGTTTTTTTAGAAGCAATTCAACAAGGATGCTTCAGTCACCTGTTTGCAATCTATTGCTCAAAACTTTTCATAGCTGCATAGAGAACTCACAGCTTGCTGCCTTGCTTGTTCCATAGCAGTTTTCAAAAGCAGCAGGGCCGGCCCAAAACACTTTACAGCTTGGAGGAAAGAGGAAAGGATAAGGGAGCCCTGCTCAACTTCCTGGATTGGCAGCCACCCTGGACACATCTTCTGCTACATCTGAAACTAGAGAGCTAGCTCAGGATATGCAGAGCCGGCTGCCCAAGGCACACAATTCCAGCAACACGCGACTGCGCCATTTCCCCAGTATCTGCCACCCGTGGATCACCTTGTCAAACAGTAGAGCTGGGCCTGAAAAACTGGCATTTTAGTTCCTGAACGGAGTTGTCTTCGGCATTCTGGGGGTGTCTGTTCATTCCCCATCCCTGCAATTTCCAGTGGAGCAGGGAGAACTTGATGGAAAGGAAGCCTCCCAAAGCCAAGGATTAACTGGAAAAAAACCCTAGTTTATAATCCAGTTTTCACCAGTGAGGCTTAAAATTGGTCAAATGTTAAACTCCTGTACGGATGCCACATACACATCACCAAATGGTTGACAGCAGTTTACATGGCATTATTATCAGTTTATTTATTTATACGTTAGCTTATAATTTATTTGGTAAATTTATCTATTTCTTCCTATGTACAAAAATTGTACAGAAGCAATACAGAATTGCAATAGTGATATAACAAGATGAAATGAAACCAAACCCCCAAACCAATCAAAGTCAGCACAATTGTACAAGCAAACATAAATACCATAAAAACATAATCTAAAACACTACCATATGAACACTTTTCATTTATAGAAACACAAAATTTCTCCCCCTACTTTCCTGCTCACAAAAGCAATCTGCAGCAACTGATGTCCCGAGGGTGTGGAATGGGCTTCCACGGGAGGTGGTTGAGGCCCCATTGGTTCAAAGATAGGCTAGACATCCACATGGTGGGCATGTCGTGAGCAGAGCCAGATGGAGCCAGGGGTCAGACTAGATAACCCAGGAGGACCCTTCTGACTCGCTCTGTTTCTATGTTTCTTTCTCCATAACTGATGTCCAAACACGTGAGAAAATAACTATGTCATTTTGCCTGGAGCTGAAAAGATAACAGTATCGGCAGCCAAAAAACTTACTTTTCCATAAACACTGGAAAAGATCTGTTCACAAACTGACACCTCCCAAACTGCTCTAGCAGGAAATACATAGAGGGAGAAGGTCCTTGAGGCACTGGGGTCCTGGCCATGAGACCACTGTATGGGGCTGTATAGGTTAAAGGCAGCACGTTGAATTTGACCAGAAAGAAATTGCTGATGCATAATCATAACAACCACCATTTAAATAAAAATACAATGCATTTCACTGTAAGTGGGAAGATGATTATCGGGTCACCAGGTGGCTTGCATAGCTTCCTATTTAATCCGCTGTTCAGGCATGAATTGCAGATGGCCAACCACAAGGGCCTTGCTCCTCTCCTATTTTATGGTTCTGTACCTTTAAACTAGACTTGGACCATGAAAGTCAAGGTTTCCATGAAGGAGAGGACTGCCCCCTGGATAAGATGGGACACATGGCTAACCTAGAGAGATGCATTTGAAGTGTCTCCTGAATCCTTGTGTACACAACCACACGAGAGGCCCAGATGCACTTATTTGGACTATATCACACATCACCAAGAAAGAATTCTGGGTCTGCCGTGTAGTTCCAAACTAGTCAAGACAAGGGTGATCAAGTTCATTTTCAGCAAATGGTTGGTGACATTAGAAATGTGCTCTTATTAGCCCCAAGCGTACCAACAACCTGGTTATCTTAGGGACCAGCTTCTCATATGAACACAAGTCCTTCTCTCTGCACTGCCCTCTTGGGCCACTTGCCAAATGAGTATGGAAAACTGGGCCTTCTTGATAGCAGCCCCGCAGTTCTAGAATACCCCACTGGAGGAGCTTCACTGGGTCCTTTCTTTTTCTACCCATTCGAAACTTGCCTTTTCCAGCACACTTTCAACTCTTATTTCCATGGCTACCAACCTCCTGTTTTAGAGTGCAGTTTTTATTGCAACATTCCTCATGTGTTTGGGGCTTTTCTTCAACACCTGCTTCTTTGTGTTTCTGTTCCAATATTTTCAATATTGTGAAGCTGCACCAAGTATTCTACAAGCAATAAAGCAATAAGAAACGGACTGATGGATGACTTGGTACAATCATGGTTCCATGAAGTTCTTTGTATCCCTTCCCCTTCTTCTGTTGCCTAGCAACATTCTTGTGCACCTGGGGAAACACAACCTGAATACCCGGGGGAAAGGGCAGCAGATCCGGAGGGTGGCCCAGTACTTCTGCCATCCTCAGTATGACCGCAGCACCTTCAACAATGACATCATGCTGCTGAAGCTCAGGAGGCCTGTGTCCATCAGCCCGACAGTGGCTCCTCTGGGACTGCCTTCAGCTTGCTCAGCCCCCGGAACAACATGCATCGTGTCCGGCTGGGGCACTGTGACCACTCCCAAAGGTATGAATTTGAGAGCTTTTGCTGCCCAGTTCTCTTGCTCACCTGTCTTCAACCGTACTTTTCACTTGTGTTTTCCTCTTTGCTTTCAACAAGGTTCTCTCCTGTTGTCTGCTATTACTAAACCTCTTGAGCACCAGCTTGATTGAAAAGCAAGACACTGATTATGACTGCGATCACAAAACAGGTGGCGACGCAGTGGGCGCTGTGAATTTCACCGTTTGCATGGTTGTTAATGGAGAGCGCTGGTCTGTTTTTTACAGTAACCTACCCAGATGTCCTGCAATGTGGGAACGTCAGGATTATCAGCCAAGAGCAGTGCACAGCCTCTTATCCACAATACATCACTGGCAACATGGTGTGTGCTGGGGTGCCTGAAGGTGGCGTGGACACCTGCCAGGTATGACGGAGAAATGACTTGGTTACTGAAGTGGCCTCAGGAGAGTTTTGCCCCAGGTGTTCCTGCACCTTCGGATTCTCCCTACACACGCCTGCCGCTAATGCAGAGCAACCCTGCCACGAGGCAGGGTGAGAGGGCTGCCCAAGGCCACGGATTTCGGATGCCATAGAAGGGTTTGCCATTTCACCCAGGATCACTGCATTTTGACTGCTTGTGAGACGCTTCTGGGGTTTTCTGTCTCAGATGCAAAAAAATAGGGCAGCTGGTCTTAGGTACCCTAAACTTTGCTATGGGGGCGGACCACACCCACTGTGGATGACTTCTGTGTAGACATTGGTTGCCTTGCACTGTTAATCAACTAAGGGGTTAATCAGTTTTTAAAGCTTTAAATTGGCCAAAAAGAGCCCGCACAATTAATCAGGAAGCGGATTTTAAAATGTCTCTTTTTCCATGCGATGGCTTATCGCAAGGCGGGGAGGGGAGCATACTTTTGAAAGAGACATTCCCTGCTTCCCTCTCTCATACACATAGAGGGGAATGCCTCTTCTAAAAGAAAGCTTGCTGTGACACATTTTGCACATTCTGAAACAGGAATCAGGAACCCACTAGCCATCTGCATTTTGCTTACAGGCATGTGCTCATGAAGATCATTTGTAGCCATCATTTGTTTATTAGATTTTTATGCCACCCTTTTTCTTACAAAGGACTCCAAGCAGCCAACGTCATTCTTCTCCTGCTGTCTCAGTCGCAACCCTGTGGGGCAGGTTGGGCCAAGAGTCTGTGAGTGGCCCAAAGTCACCCCGGTGGCTCCAGGGCTGAGCAGAGACTAGGACCCAAATCACCCGAGTCCCAGTCCCGTGCCCTTAACCACTGCATTGCACTGGCTCTCTGTTAGCGGCTGTGCTCGTCTTTTGCAGGGCGATTCTGGAGGGCCGCTGGTCTGCAATCAGCAGCTGGAGGGGATTGTCTCCTGGGGCTTGGAGAAGTGTGCCCAGAGGAACCGGCCGGGCGTTTACACTCGCGTATGCAACTATGTCACATGGATCAGAGAAGTCATGCAATGGAACCGACCCTGAGGACAGAGCTCATCTTATCCATAAAAGCAAATCATAAATAATGGCAGGATTTTTGTTGTCGTCGTTTCCTTTCCTATGAAACCTGTAAACGCATATATGGAGGCATCACAGCTGGTGATAGGTAGATGAGTAGGACAATTTCCTTTATCCGTGGTACAGAAATAGTGGCAAAATTAAGGATTTCTTTGATAGTGTTTGTTCTTTATCTCCAATACATCAGAGCAAGCATTTAAAGCAGGAGCACTGAAGCCCAGGCTCGGCGGCCAAATCCAGCCATTTGAGGGGGTCAAATCCAGCTTTTCAGGGGTTCCCTGGATGGCAACACCCTCTTCCCCAGTCACCAGTCATTGGTTTCGGTTTTGGGGCAGTCTCCCCAAACCCAAGTTGAAATGCTTCTCCTTGGTGTTTGTGGTTTTGCCCCTTTTGCCTTTGGGCCACCCCACCCCACCCCAAAATATAACCCCAACACTTACCTGAAATGGAATTTGGCTGGGAAGGTTCATCAACTCTTATTTAAAGTCCCATCCACAACTTTTTGGAAATAATCATACCCCACCCAGCAGAAGCAGTATTCTTTTAATTTTTATTTTCTTAACATATATAAACAAAGTAAGCAAAGATGGAAGATGGATAGTTTTGGGGATTGAATGTATAGGTTGCATTTGTTTAATATTTCCTTGGCATCTTTGCTTACTTTGATTATTTCAGTTTGTTCTGTTTTATATTCTTTTTATGTATTTGTATATGTTAAGAAAATAAAAATTAAAAAAAGAAATGAATATTCCGTGATGGCAGTTAACTATGTAAACAGAAGATCGTTAGAAGAATTTAAATATAAATAGAAATTTTATTATGCTCAGTACGACTAATAGGAGTTGAGGGGACTTTGGAAAAGGAAAGGAAAAGCAGTAGAGGACTTGAAGTGATAAGAAGTTTTGTCGTTGCTTAGGTTAATGTGGGGGGTTTTTTTCTACTAAACTGTTATAGAGCACAGACAGATGGGAGATTGATCGTTTTGGGGGGTTGAATGGATAGGTCACATTTGTTTAAAATTCCATTGGCATCTTTGCTTACTTTGTTTATTTTAGCAGAAGCAGTATTAAGGGGTGGCCTGCTAAGGCAGGAGCCTGGAATCTCTCCGGCCATCTTCCTCACCACCCTTATCCATGGGAGGTGTGAGTCCATGGCTCACCTAGGCAGGCACCCTGGACTTTTAGAATTCACCCAGTTGCCACCTTTGGTCTTAACACAAGGCCATTTCTTCCCTGTGAGCTTAATAGACTTACGGGTACTAGGAGAGGTCGGACTCACTGTACGAGCAGACAGATGGGGAATGTAGCAGGAAGGTGCCAGTCTGCCAAATCTCTTTTGTTCCACAGTTCTGCCAATTATTTTCATTAAGTCCAGATTCCAGAATGGCCTTGTGGCACCACTGTCACCTGGAGTACGTCTGACCCTGCAAGGAACTGCAGTTACGGTCCACCTGGAGAGGCCTACTCAACCAAACCATGCTAAATCCATCTTAGCCAGGTCTGCAGGTCTTTTTTTTCAATCAGTTGCAGGTTTCTGCTAAGCTAAAGTCCTGCTCATCTGGATGCTGACACTGCATGGCAGACCTGGCTGAGGTCATCCCAAAGCCAAGCCCCTCCACTTAGCAAACCTCCTGAATGTCGAACAGCCTGGGTGCTTAGGCAGTGAAGAGTCTTTCCATGACAGAGCTGGGGATGAGCAATCACCCAACTGTCAGCAGTCTTCTGGAACCTCCAATCAGGCAAGGGAGGAGAAAGCAAATGAGAAAGATTCCGCTGGAAACGACCATGGGAGGTCTGTCTCTTGTGCCAAGAGCAGCCTCCCAGGAGTTCGACCAAGGCATCAGGGGGAATGTCACCTTCCCCAAGGCAGAGGAAGACCTGACACAGGCATCAGGAGAAATCCACCACAGAGGCTGGACATCTTCAGCAAGCTTGGTCGGCAGCCTAGCACAGGGCCCTGCTCTCTGGGCTGCATTTTCCCTTTGTCATTTGCCACTGAACGGCCACTGGAAGCTACCTTTTGCTTTCTCCTCTGAAACTGAACAAACCCTTTCCCACCCTGCACTTTCCCCTGAATCTCTAATAAACCTTCTACCCTGTTTCCTCCAAAACCCGGATGGTGAGCTTTGTGGGTGAAAGCGGGGAGGCTCCCACTCCTGGCCGTGCTAATGGTGTTTAACAACCAGATTGCAAGGAACATCCTGAGCAAAACCTGGAGCCTGGAAGCCTCTTTTTTCTGGAGGGATGAAAAGAAGCCCAGCACAAGTAACACCAGTGAGATCTTGGCCAGCGAGTCCCAAGGGACCGAGAGCGCTTCAGGACTGCAGAGACTGGCTTGGTTTACCTCCAGGGGTGGTGGTGGATACCAGTTTGTCTCTGCTGCACCAGGATTTGCACCCATAGCCAGGGCGCCCTGGAATGTCAGCTTGCCACCCCTGCTCAGCCAATTGCTTCTGGGCAAATGCACCTGTGCCCTTGGCCATTGGAGGCAGCAAGGCCCTGAGAAGAAGAAAAGCAGGCACATTGGCTTCTCACTTAACAGATATAATATAGAAACAGAGAAACAGAGTGAGTCAGAAGGGGTCTCCCAGGCCATCTAGTCTGACCCCCCAGCTCCTGCCGGCTCCACTCAGGACATGCCTACCAGGCCTTCCTCATTTGTGACTTCCTCAAGGCTAATCCAGACCCTTAATGGATGGGGGAAATAGAAGTGGATTTCCTTGCAAACAGGGTTTGAATGGGCAGCAGAAACTGAACTTGGGGCAGGAAATAAGAGAGTGTACAGCCGAGTGTGGCTGGAGCTCCCTGGCTGTGCAGGCACCTTTTTACTCAATCCACATGGCCTGATTTTGGTGGATGAGGAAATACACGCACTCCCTCCCACCAAGGTACACCCTCTAACTACATCTACATACCCCAGCCAGAGCAGCTATGTATACAGTGACATCATAAGCAGTCCACTGCACAGAAAGCGATTTTGAACATTGCTGTTCATGTAACTGGAAAAAAATGGCACTTCCTGAAATTAAGGTAGACGGGCCGTGATGGCCTCTGTTGTATCTGAGCCCTTTGGATTGTGTGGCTCCCCCCCACCCCCCCACCCCCACCCCCTGCTGTTGCATCTTCCATCTGAGGTGTCCCTTTTTTCCTTGAAATCAAATGCCCTCCTCTCATCCATCCACAGGGGGATCCCCAGGAGACACGGTCCTATAAAAATACACATACGCAAATCAGCCTCAGGCAGCTGATCTGGAACAACAGAAAAAGGCAGTACGTTATTCATTTATTGACAAGTACAAATGCCAGGCAGTTATTTATGACTAGTACTCAGTTTGAACTCCAAACAGCAGCCTTCCTCATAGCAGGATGTGCAGAGATGAGGCTTTGCAATCTGCAAAGGTCTCTGGATGCTTTTTCCACTTGCCTACTTCTTTCCAGCTTTCGTTTTACACACAGAGCAAAGCTCACACCCTCTTGCAACAGGAAAGACCAGTCAGCCAAGAATCCTCTTTCCTTCCAGCTTTTCTTTAATAACAGAAATACCTCCCACAAATAAATTACTCTCCAGAGAGGAATCTGTAAAGAATATGTTGCAGGAAAAACAACTGACGTGCTCAGTGAGTAGTCTAACAAAGGAGTAGACTGAGGAAAGTCCCACAGCTTCCAGTATTCCCTCAAGCAGCCATGCGGGAGGCTGTGGCACTTTTTCCTGTTGAAATGTGCCCAGGATTATGCCCTTCATCACTTTGGATGTCATCCTACACACACTTAACTGGGACTAAGTGCCACAGAAATGTTGGGCTCTCTTCTGAGCCAGCCTGCAGAGCCTCCATGTGGGAAAGCCTGGCTCCATGCCAAACACATCTTACCAAGTGGGTTCTGGCTGACAGAAGCTGATCCTTTGGTGCAATGAATGTGTTAATTGCTAAGGAGCTGCAGAACCATTTTTGACTGCCATTGCATCGTGCCCTCTCACTCGGGGCCTCCGTCCCTTTCATTTGGATTTGCATCAGGTTAATTTCCCTCCTCTCTCACACCATCGCCACTTGCTTTCTGACCGGCTCCTCACCCCCTGCTCTTCCTCCCCGCCACTGTTGTCTGAGTCACAGTGATAGGCGGGAGGAGTGCAGGGGCCACTCCAGAGGGCCTTTGGCAGGAGCCCGCTCCTGCACTGTGAGCCCTCGGCCTGACCCTGCCTACCCTTGTCAGCTTGGCCGTCTGCATTTCACCTCGCTGTCTGGCAGCACTGGCCCGCCTTCCACCCAGGCTCCCAGCTGCTCTCATGGGCCCAACCCAGTCGCCCCCCAGGCTCTTGCTTGCCCAGTGTAGGTATGGGGAGACTCTGCTCCCTGCATTTACTATTTTCAGGTTTAATACCTTTGAACATTCTCTGTGTTTTTAAAAATCTGTTTCCGGACCCAGATGTTTGCCCACATGTACTTTTCTTCACAACAGCTTTAGGGTAAAGGTGGGCAACCCATTGCTCAAGGTCTAATGGCACGCAGCCCTCCAGAAGTGACCAGTCCAGACCCTCAGTAGTGGGATCTTTGCCTCCCCCAGCAGCCCACTAGCCAAAGAAAAGGGGGTAGCAGGAAGAAAGAGAGAGAGAGAGAGTGCGAGCGAGCGCAACTCCAACCACTTTTGGTTCAGACCCTCCCCAGAGCTGACTTTGGCAAAGATCTCTCCAAACAAGGGAACAAGTTCAGACAGCTGTTGGTATTTGCATTTTTCCCAAGGGCATGTTGAAACAGAGCTGCTTTTAGGGAACAAGTGCACAGATTAGCTCCATTACTGCACAAGGTATGGGCTTGGGAAGTTCGAGAAAAGCTACTGCTCTGCAGGCGCAAAATCAGCCTGCCGGGTCCTGCTGCAGCCTGTGCAGGACACCAAGTAATCCATTCAAGTTGCGACAACCCAGATTCAGGCAAAGCTTCCTCACCGTCAGAGTGTAGGAAAGGGTTAATTGTTGCTTTTGCAGAAGATAGCAGGTAGTTGTCTCTGCTATCTTCTGCTATTCTCAAATAGCAGCTGGCTGTTCTCAAATGAAACAGAAATGTGGAGGGGAGAAAGAGATAATTGGCTTGGAAGAAAGTTTGCTACTTCCTATCTCATCCTCCCAGTAGTTTTATGAGATGGGCAAGGTGAAGTCAGAGGAGTGAACTTGTGAACTTGTAGTTATAAGCAAGCAGGCATAATAGGTTGATGAATATTAACTCACACACCCCGAATAGACAATGGGCTAATTTCAATGCACATGCAATGTATGTAGATGTATGTAATGGTATGAGACAGGAATTGCATGAAATAGGCCAATGGAAAGGCTGTGAACCCTCCACTACCCAGTAAATGGGGAAAAGGGGGAGGCTTCTTGCAGATGGAGATAGGAAATAAAAAGAACTGGTGAGCTATGCTTGGTGTGCCTGCTCTGTGGGACACCCGCCATTGCAATCGCAAAGATAAACTTAGTGCTGCTTGAATTCGTGCCATGAATTTATTCTCTTGACGAACAAAGTACAGGAGTGATTCTCACAAGAGCAATACGACAGTGGAACCAGCTGCCTGGAGAGGCGGGGGGCTCTCCCACACTGCAACATTCAGATCGAAACTGGGCAGCCACCTGCGTGGGATGGTGTCAACTGGTGTCCTGCAACAGCAGCGGGTTGGACTTGGTGGCCTTCTTGGCCCGTTCCAACTCGACTATGCTATGACTCTAGCAGCGCCTCTCCTGTGCCTTACAGGTATTCTTCCCACCCCGCTTGTGGGAACAGACTTCAGGGCTGAAGGATGATTTTGAACTTGGACCTCCCCGGGGTCTGAGGGGGCACTGTCCCCTCCAGCAGCCGCAGCCACAGCACTGGCTCTCCTCTAGATTCTCAGGGAAGACTGGCTAAAGGAAGTACCTATCTCAAGCCGCCTCTGCGAGTCGCAGGATGAGACATAAGCCTGCTTCCACTTCTCTGGGTTCTGCTCCACATGCCCACCAACACCTTGGTCTCATTCAGGCATTGCCTATGTGCCACTGAGCATCTCTTGGGCACTTCCTCAGATAAAATGCATTCCCAAAATACAAGCCCGGGAGCCAGCTTGAGCCCGGCCAAATTTCATTTGAGGAACTATTTAGCCATTGGAGTCGATACCTCACTTCCACGTGTACACATCCCAGCTTTTATCAGAAGGAAACAGCAGCTTTTTTCCAAGCAAGGTTCTAGCTCTCAGGAGTGCCTTGTGTGAGCCCGCGTGCCTGCACACAGCAGTAGGATATCGCGTTAAGAGCAGTGGACTGGGACCCAGGAGATCCCCCCTTGGCCATGAGGACCAGTGGGTGACTTTGGGCCAGGCACTGGGCTGTTCTGAAGAAGAAATGGGGAGGATGGCGACGACGCAGGCTGCCACGTATTCTCTGCAGATAGGGCATAAATGTGATAATAAACTACTCATGAGGGACAGAAACTTTATTTTTCTAGAAAGTAAAAGTGGAGATTTGGTTGGATGCCACCAATGCAAAGAAGCACGGGGAAACACCTGAAAGTCCAAGCTCGCCTACATGCTGACAAATTTCACAAGCATTTGCGACTCTGACCACATTCGTCCAGTGAGCAAATAGTTTTATTACACTGGTTGTGTACAGAACACATACATGCTTCTTGAACAATTCTGATAAGACAGGAAGAAAATAGCACGTGCCTTTTTATAACAAATGCATCTGGCCACCATCTCCTCCCACTTCAGATTAAGCATTAGGGTTAGCAAAAAGCAAGAGATAGCTTCACTTTTAATTTCAGAAATACTCAATGGATCAGGAATAGCACTCCATAGTTAAATAACATACAGAACCCCCTATCAATGGTTTAGATGACAAACAGCAAGGCTGCTTTACAAGAGAACATAAAATGCACATTTCCTTGAGTTAACCACATCTGGAGTGATTTAAGAGCAATCTAATCATCAAGTGGTAAAACTGAGAGATGTTATAACACGTCCCCAAGATGAAGGAACAGGGCTAGGAAGCTAGCTGTATTTCATCTCAGCATTCTCCCCACCCCAAACATTCTTGTTTTCAGCATTATTAAGAAAAGAGTAATTGTTTGTGCATTTATTTGCATAGTCACATCAGGTTATAAGTTCATCCAGTGTTTTAAAGGAGCACAGACTGAGGAGTTATCTATCACAACCACTTTGCAGGTTTACTGTCAGGGCTTTCCTTCACAAATAGCAAACTAGTTTGCTGAATATTATTTCTGCGGCATCTCCTTCCTCCTGTATCACGCACTTTTTCCCCATTTGATGCCACCAGAAGGTACTGGGGATGACTAGTGGAGGTAAAACTCAGCAGCACTTTCCACACTCTCTGTGCTGCCCGTTGCCATTTTGAAAAACCCACAATCCCCCTGAGCATTACATCAATTTAGTGGCTTTTAGAGGCATTTGAGGACGGGGTTCAAATTGGCACCCAGAAGAGGGGGAGAGCACCCATGTGTTTTCCACAAATTCCCTCTAAATTTCCTTCCATCCCCCGAAATATGCAAGGCAAGGCCTTTCCTGATTTCCCGAAATATCAGGAAAATGCAGTGGGCATAATGCTACCAAGATCGGACCAAAGAAGGAAATTACTTCTTGGTAATAACTCAGAGCAGTAAGAAGCTTGAACAGAGCAAGGCCTGTTCTTGTCTAGCAGATGGCAGGCCAAGCACATTGGCAAGGCCAAGAAAGGGGGAAACTTTGCTTGCCGTTCCCAGCCTGCAGAGTCATTGCTTGCCCAGTCATTCCAAAGATGGCGGAGTAAAAGAGGTGCACGGGGAGAAGATGACCTCAGAATTGCTTCTGTTGAGCCCTGAGAGGAGCACAGTGCTGCTATGCATGTCCAGCCAGGGCTTCACGGACTTCTGAAAGGCACCGACCTGCCGGACAAGGCATTCCTGTTTTCATCAAGCCATGCATTGTGCTTATGTATATACAGGAAGTAAGAAACAACGGGTAGGGGACATGCAGCACAGGAAAGACTGGAAACTTTTTAATAGAAAGCCTTACTTAGAATTCTGCCTTTGAGAGCATGTGCCCCACTGCTGAGACAGCACTGAGCAGATACCTAGACACCCTGAGAATAGGATAAGATTTCAACACAAAGAACAAAGAACAGAAAGGCTATATGGGAACTCTAAACAAAACATTTGAAGTTATTGGGCGGCGGTTAGGTCCTTATGTTAGTCCTACAAAAGACAGAAAGCAAAGAACTTGGAAAAGTTTGTTCTTGGGTATTTGTCAAGCAAGGACTCAAAAATCAAGTGGCTTTTTCTTAAATTTTCATTTTTTGGGGCTCGTGATACTTAAATTAAGGGAAAAGTGACTTCATGTAAACATAGAAAACTGGACATCTATTTATGTGAGGGTGTGGGGGTTTTTTTGGGGGGGGGTTGGTAGTCCTAAATTTTACTTCAACACCTGACAAACAGGTTTGCAGGTATGCAGGGGCACAGAATGTGATGCTGGACACAACTCCAAGATTATTGAGTCTCTCGGCTTTCCCTGAAACAACACATAAGATTCCCCATGTTTATGGCTTGCAAAAACATGCTTGCATGTCACGGCTGCTGGAATCTCACAAAGCAGAAGGGTAGCTCATGTAGACTTTGGAACGCATGCTGGAGTTCCATTCCTTCCAACGCTTAACAGAACAAAAACTACACGAAATAATAAAAACCATGGAATTATGTGAAAGAACAGCCATATAGTGCTAAGGGCTGCACATGTCTAGCTTTTCTTGTAGAATTTTAAGTGTTTTTAAGTGGACTCAGTCCTATTTGTTCCTCTTGTTTCACCTTGTTTCACTTTAGTTAAAAGTACATAGGGTCAAGCACTGAATTGAAAGGGAAAGTACTCAGGATCATCTGATCTGATGTGACACGGAGTAACAGCTGTCCCTCCACTTCTCCCGCTTCACACTGGACTACAAGAACTCTACAGGCACTCCAGTACAGCAAATCAGCCCACTACACTTCACATTGGGGACAATAATTGGCTTCCGAGAGTTGTATTCAGTAGTGTAATTTAATTCTCATTGTACTTTACTTCGAGTAGGGCTAACACTGGATAGAACCCTGATTTCTTCCCAAGAAGTAGGGGCTGGTGGAAAGAACCACTGAATTAATTTATAGAATCAAAGCACATTTCAAATTGTTGAAGCAAAAATAGCAAGCTAAATTGCCTGTTGTATTTATATATGCATAAATATATATGAATATATATTCATTCAGTGCTGCAGTGATTTCCCAGAAAAAGAAAAGCAAGTCATCTCTTCAAAGTACATTTTCTTATCAAATCAGAAGCCAATTGGTGGTTGGATTATGAATCTGCCTTTTTTGGAAAGAAATAGGCCAGCATTCCTGGTTTGCAGTTACAACACCAACACACAAGCCATGCCTCGAGGTGTGTTTAGCGGCCCTTGCTTGCAGTGTGAGTGACCAGCCACCATGCAGGGATATGCTGCTTATACACAATAATCCAGGATCCCCAGCTAATCATTGTGTCTGAGCATAGCCATTACAGAAGTGACTCTTCCCCCGTGAAGATGGATGGTGGCACTAAGCTCTCATAGTCTGGCTGTAATGCTATTTTTCACATAAATGATGTGAAGTTAATTAAACAGGGTATCAAAATGCTGATGCCAGGTGTTAAACTTCCAAACCTACAAACCATATATCTAAAGAGGGTCATTTTTACTGTTGCTCTTAAGAAAGGTAACAATACATTTAGATTTAAGCAGGTGTTTTTAAGAAACCTTGAAGCACAAGTCCTACTGAATCAACATATTGCAAAGACGTAACCGGGGGAAGTGCAAACCTGTTGGACAAGCATAACTTCAGCTAAATGAGCAGAGATCACAGCAGAAATCTCCTGAATTAATTGGACAGTAATCTTATGACTGCTGTCAAATTATATGCATCAATGAAAAAAGTGCAATGTACTTATTTTCCATTTTTTTTTCAATTTACATGTTTTATTTTGAATCCACTGTTGATTTTCACACCTTTTTCAGTATTTTGGCAAAATAACAGCAGAAAATCACCTCTGAACGCATGAAGTGGCAATGGATATTGGGCAATAGCAATGGAGGCTATTACAGATCATAACAAAAGGGAGCTGTAAGCCACACAGCACAGATCTGCTTGAGAGGTCTGGAGCCTTGAGATACTGCCTCTTAGTTTTTGATATTTGCAACACTGATAATGGGAAGCTTGACTTCTTAAATAAACAGATTCTCAGGAACTGAAATGTGCAGAACACTGTTACATACACAGAGGATGAATGAGTTCATGACAATTTTGCAACTTTATAACTCAGTCATAATCAGGAGCTCTGTAACACTGTGCTAAAAAACAAAAAAGCTCACATCCTCAAAACGCTGTAATTGCAAAAATTCAATTGGAAATTTAACCAAATAATGAGAATTTGCAGATTTGTTTTTGCATGCCATTGCACAATTTGCAAATGGTGTTATTTCTCTGGCACGGTCCCCCTCCCCCCCTTATCGCAGAATTTTACATTCTGTATTCAGCTGCTTTGTGAAGAGTTTGTGGAAAAGGCTCAATGGTATGAAATGGAGGAAAGAAAATGTGGACATTCTATAGCCAAGTTTTTTTATTCTACACAAAGTCTCAGATACTACCAGTCATAAAGGCTAGAACTTAACATTTTATTTAAAGGCTGGAATCTTAGATTCTGTTTTAAGTTGCTGAGATCTCTGTCCAATGCTTTATTTTGTGCAGACTTCCCAAGCTTCTGGTCATCATCAGGTCCCCAATTAACTTCCCTAAAGTGGAAATGAGGCGTGCTCATTCCCATGTTGGCTGTCATGGTGAGCAGGGCCAACCACAAAACACTCTTTCCCCTGGAACTAAAAGAATTTGCTCAAGCACCTATGTACAAGGCAGAAGTAGCATCTGAGCTCCAAAATACAAAATCACTCTTCTGAGCCCACTGTTTTCTACTCCAATACCCATTTTGAAGAAGGCCAATGGATAAGGCTCAATGACAAATAATTTGGCTAAGGACATGAGTGCAAGGCAGAAGTGGTGCAGAAGCCCCAAATGCCAAACTGCGTATTTGTGTCCGCAAACACAACAGGGTACCCATTTCACAGAAGGCAAACTGGTGACATTCAGGGAAACACCCACACACAAAACATTCACCACACCACCAAACCACACCAAAAATTCACACAGGCATGACCTATTCACCCCTGCCAGGTGAAAGTCCATTAAAACACACATCCAACTAATTCTAGGCAAAGGTTTACTGGGAACCATAAACACAAACACACATGCAAAGCCTGGGTAAAACACAACACTACACCGAAACCAAGCAAGCTATCATACACACAGATCACCTCGCGCTTTCCCTCACTCCCTGTGACTCCCACAAGCACCACGGTTTCCCCTACCATTCCTCCAGCTTACCTTTTATGTCTGGGCAGCCGGACTCTTCAAAATGCAGTGCTGGACTGCCACGGCCAGCCCATCCTTTTCTATTGTTTAAGAAGGTTTCTGGGACCCAGAGGCATCCTCAGAGAGAAGCATGACCCTGGAGGCCAGTGCTTTGCTTTGCTTTGCAGCTTCCCAGTGCATGTTTTTCCAGATTTTAAAAACATTGGAAAAAAGCTTGAGGGGTTTGTTTTGGTTTGTTTGTTTAATCAGGAAAGGGAACTTGGCAAGCACCAAGGGAGGAGTCCAATAGGACCACATTTCAGATCCCGGCCCTACAATCCCTGCCGTTACCAATGCCAGAGTTGGCTGGATGGAGCTCCACTCCAGGCTTCTCCACACCAGGCATTTCCCGCGCACCCGGAGGCCCCACTTGTGGCAACTCGCAGGTGCGTCACAGGATGCCAGCCTCCTCCAGGGCTTCTTGTGCTTCCCAGGGTTTCCATGCTTTTTTTAAGAGTGAAGAAAGTGAGCTACTATTAAGATACATAACATACTTGCATGTCTGCACTTACGCCACACAACGCCACCTCATGCTTGTGTACAGGAACAGAGAGGAATGAAGAGAAAGAAAAGCCACAGCAAAAAAAGCATGTGTACAGGAGCTGATCTTAATCCCACAAAGACTCCGGAAGCAGAAGCCAAGGTAAAGTGGTAGATTAAAAGCCTCATATAAAGAAGCCCGTTATGAAGCAAGCATTTAGACTGTCCCCTTGACAGTAGTGTAACCTAAGGAAAGTATGCACTCGTGAGCATTATGTACAATTCCTGCCAGCAAGCAGACAAAGGCATTTGTCTGGGTGAACTAAGGCACGCTTGCTGGGAAAGTAAGCCTCAAGCAACTCAGTGAGACTCCCTTCCGAGGAAACATACTCAGGCAGAATGGTACGACTTGGCTCCAGTCAGTGTGTGCGTTGGTCTGGCACCAGCTGGAAAGCCAACCCCTGAAGGCTGCCTGACAGCCGGCTGTGTCCAGCTCTTAATCAAGAAGCATGTTGTCCTTATTTTCAATTTAAACAACAAGCTTCAGTACAGTAGAATGATCCTCTTGCGTGCACACAGGGCAAAGCGTAGCCCTGTCTTGCTTCCTCTTGCATACAGGGTTTAAGAGTAAAAAGAAAATCCATCTTTCTTTGCACATCAATTGCAGAACTGAGTGAAGGCGGGGTTGGAGAGGGGCTTGGCAGCAACCACCCTGCAGTTAGACGTTGCACTCCGTGTGGGTGGCTTTCGTGCTCTTTGCATCTCCTAAGGAGATGAGGGATTGGAAGGGTGTGAAGGAACAGTTGCTGGAGGAGCATGAAGGCTCGTTTCCTTGTAGACAAACCAAGCATTTCCTGCCCACAGAATCAGATTGAGGAAACCAATGACCTGAGGAGCAAGAAAAGCAGAAAGAGGAGTTTTAGGCCTAAAGTGGAAGTGGCTGGTTTTCTTCTTGGGATACAAGACTCAGGTAAACCCAGGATGTCAAGGCCCATTTCCACCTCCAGAAAGCAGTGGAAAATGAATGAACAGGTGAAGTTACTCATGTGACTGTTCTCTATTGGTGGTATGACATGCAAGTTGTACTTACCTGGAACGCAGAGAAAAGCCAACATGAATGAGGAGTAAATAAGATCCATGATTATGCTTCCTGCAATTAACTGGCTGATTACATATACACTAGGGAAGATATAATGCTCTTTTTTACTGAAAACTAGAACATTTTGTTTAAATACCACCAAGCCTCTGTAAGTACTGATCCTGGGTTTGATACAGCCCTCCAGATGTTTTGGACTACAATTCCCACCAGCCTAAGCCAGCATGACTGAATCCAGGACATATGAGGGGCTCTAAATCAGAGAAGCTTGTTTGAAGGAGTAATATGCTGTATCTATATTTTAAGTCGTGTTATAATAATGCTATGGCATTGCAGTCATTCCTTGAGAAGCGATCAAATGGAACCGCATATTTCAGTTCTGAAAACGCTTCACTTTGCTGCCTGGAGCTGCTTAAGGAAGTTTACCCTTGCCAGGTTAATTTCTAGTATCCAAGCCGGGATGGAACAGAATGGGCTGCTTGATGCAGTGCCTAAAATGGAAGAGGGAGGAGAATGATAAGGAAAGGGGAGCCCTGCTCCTGGATCAGGCCAGGGGTACATCCAGTGCTACCTGCTGTCCACACATTGGCCAACTGGATGCCCATGTTCCATCCATGTTCCCCAACAACTGGCATTCATAAGCCACCTGTGTCTATACTGTGTCTCCATCCAGCCACCTCAACCTCTGCCATCCCCTTCTCCTTTTTCCATCAATCGTTCCCAGCATCAGGCTCTTCTCCAGGGAGTCCTTCCTTCTCATTAGGTGGCCAAAGTATTTGAGTTTCATCTTCACTATCTGGCCTTCTAAAGAGCAGTCAGGGTTGATCTCCTCTAGGACTGACCAGTTGGATTGCCTTGCGGTCCAAGGGACTCGCAGGAGTCTTCTCCAGCACCACGATTCAAAGGCCTCGATCCTTCGGCGCTCAGTCTTTCTTATGGTCCAGCTTTCACAGCCATATATCGCAACTGGGAAAACCATAGCCTTGACTATATGTACTTTTGTTGGCAGGGTGATGTCTCTGCTTTTTAGTATGCTATCTAGATTTGCCATAGCTTTCCTCCCAAGGAGCAAGCGTCTTTTAATTTTTTGGCTGCAGTCCCCATCTGCAGTTATCTTGGAGCCCAGGAAAATAAAATCTGTCACTACCTCCATTTCTTCCCCATCTGTTTGCCAGGATGTGATAGGACTGGATGCCATGATCTTAGTTTTCTTAATGCTGAGTTTCAAGCCAACTTTTGCACTCTCTTCGTTCACGCATATCAAGAGGCTCTTTAGTTCCTCTTCACTTTCTGCCATTAGAGTGGGATCATCTGCATATCTGAGTTTAACAATGCTAAGGACTTTGTTTTATCTGTTCTGACTCTCCCACCCATCATCTTCCTGGGATGATTTCAATGGGCTCTCCTATTCTGAACAAGAAAGAAGAATGTCTCCCTACCCACTTTCTCCTCACCATGCATAATTTTGTACACTGATAGTATCTCTCCCCTCACCTGCTTTTTCTCCAGGCTAAGTCATCCCAGATGTTGCAGCCTCTCCTCACGGCTGCGTGGTCCCACCCTTTGGATGCTTTTCTGTACTTCAAATGCTTTTCTAAGTGTGGTAATCAGAACTGAACACTGCATTCCAAGTACAAGTGTACAACAGATTTGTACATATGAAAATGTATTTATTATAGTTCTATCCTGCCTTTTTCCTTCTAAGGAACTCAAAGCAGCTTACTGATTCACCTCCTCCTCTCCATCTTATCCTCACAACAACCCTGTGAGGTAGACTGGGCTGAGAGTTACCCAGGGAGCTCCAAGTGGGGACTAGAACCCAGATCAGCTGCATCCCAGTCACACGCCCCTAACCACTTTGCCACGGCGAGCTTTCTGTATGTTATATGGGAACGGAGCACAGGTGATGATGGATGCCCATCATGCCTCGCCTGCCCCATGATGTAGCCAACTTTAGGATACCTACCAAGGTACTCTAAAGCAAAATCAGTTTCTCCCCTGTTTAACTTTAAAAGATTTGTGTTGGAAAACACAAGACCCCATGCACATCCTTTCAACACATTCTAAAGCTAGTTCATGTTACAACACTATAACAATTACAACCCAATATTCTGCCTTCCAATTATCCAGCAGGTACTTGCTGACCCCTCACAGCAGGGACAGAACAGGTGGCTCCCTCTGCCAGTCTTTGGATTCTGGACATTGCGGCAAACTGTCTGCAGTGGGCGGCTGCGTTCGCTAACAGATGAAGCTGCAAGATCATGCAGGTTTAGTCAGCAAGAAGCCAAACAGCTCCCCACACGGCCCAGCCAGTCATGCTGCATAGGAACGTTCTCTGCACAGGACTGAACCCGAAGTACTTTAGCTAATGCAAGCTCCAAGTACCAGATTCTACCTAACCTGCACAGGATGGCACCCTTATCTTCCGTGGACTGGACTGAACCCAGGCCATCACTCCATCTCTGGGTAATGGATCTACCAACTTCATTATGTGCTGCATGAACAATGTACTGCCTTATTACTGCGAGAAAGCGAAATGTTTATTTCTGCGCACTCGCTCCCTTTATCACTTCCACATTTAGTCATCTTTCCTAAACTAAGAAGGCCTAAAAACTTTAACCTCGCCTGGTAAGAAAGGTGCTTCAGTTCCCTGAGTTGGTAGCAACTCAAGGTCAAATTCAGTCTGAAATTTGGGGGAAAACACACACACACACACACACACACACACACACACACACACACACACACAGAGAAAAGAGTGCAAGAAATTGCTATTTGGATCAGAAGTTTGCCTGATGGTGCACGGCACTTCTCTCTCTCCTGGTGGCTCATTTACCTTATACATGTCACTTTCTCTGGAACGTTACTTCTGCAAGGTAAGAAGGAAAATGGCCCACAGAAAGAGAGACAAGCACTCCACTCATATAGAAACTCCCCATCTGCATTGCAACTTCCTACAGTTGCCGGTGGTTTCTTTTATAATTCAACCCGCAGCGAAGGCATTCACATGACACAATGTGTGGTTTGGCCCAGAAGGCCTGGCAGAAGCAGTTCCTTTGCACCCAAGAAAATCCTGCAACTTACCAAAAAGAAAAAAGAAAAACCTCACAGCTCCACAAACACATTTTCAAATGTTAAGAATATGACAGGGGTGGGGGAGGTTAAAAAAAGTTAGGAATATGAGTTGGTCAGATCTTGTGGGGCTGGGTATGAATCCAGATTTCACGCAAGCTCACGCAATGTGTCAAGCCCAAACATTCCTCGGAAGGACATGCTCTTAAGAATGGCACCATTGCCTTGGTGGTGCTTCCAAAAGGCCAAGACGTGAATTCCATTCCGGAGTGGTATTTGTGGCTGCATTCCAGTGATGGGCAGGGAACAGGCGGGGAAGCCGAAATTACAAAACGTATCAGGGCATCGTAGCTTAAAGTCCATTGCAGGTAGCAGGTAAGCCTCAGAAGAGGCATCACAACCTTTTAAAGTAAGTGGGGGAAAGGAAAAAACCTGGAAAGGCGGCCATGGATGGATGGTTGAAAATGGGTGAGGCTGGGGGAGCAGAGTGAGGCCAGCTGGGGGTCCCAGGAGGGCCAGATTTGGCCCTGGACCTGAGATTCCCCGCCTCTGCTCTAGACCGTCATTTTGTCCCTCACAATGCCTGCTCAGTGCCTTTGGGAACCACGCAAGGAAGGCCAGGGACAGGTAACCTCAGGTGTTTATCTGATAACTCATACATACCACAGAGACGTTCAAGGGCCCCATGCTTCTGATCTCATTAAAATGGCATGACACCCCTGGATTCTTGCAACCAGGCATTTCCGTCACAATGAAGGAGCCGGTGGATGTTTTGATGTCTGTGAGAGCTTTGGCCCAGGCTGATGTGCTGACCAGCCACAGGAAAGAGATGAGTACCGTGACAGCAAAGTCCTGTGGCAGAAGAAGGCAGGGCCGATTAGAGAGTTTGCCCTGGGAAAAGGGAGGAAGAATTCCCGCAGTGCACCATCCCACCATAAAACACCCACCTCCAGCTGCAGTTACTAAGGATCGTACAAGGCTGACCTGCACATACGGGGGTCTTCGAAAAGCTTCTGCACTTTCATAGTTTATGAATATATTTTATATATTTTTTGCTGAGGGCAGTAAAAGGTTGGTACGGCGCTGGGAAAAATGCATCACAAGGGGAGGTGGGTATGTAGATAAGTGATGTAATTCGTTTGTGGAATTCTTAATGAATGGAGTTTAAAAAGTGTGGAAACCTTTCGAAGAACCCTTGTATATCTTTATTTCTCAACAACTCAATGAGTTCGGTCCGGCCCACATCCACTGGGAAGCATTGTGCATGGCTGCTTAAAGAGAGGCCCACTGCTGACCTTCCTCTGAAGTGCAGCCCCGTGTGAACGATCAGGAGAATTCTGGGCAATGCTGCTGCTCCACACTGGGAGAAGGCAGTACCCAAGTGGCCAATCCAGAACGCATCCCGGAAGTGCTCCTCAAATCCTTGTGACAGGCAGAGCCTTCCACAGCTGCTGCTTATTATCACAGCACTGCATTTATATTCCATGAGCTTTCCTCTTGCAAGGAACCCAGGGTGGTTTATATGGTGGCCCTCCTTTCCATGTCGTCCTAACCCTGTGAGGTGGGTTCGGGTGAGAGCGGCTGGCCGGCCCAAAGTCACCCAGTTTCATGGCTGTGTGGGGACCAGAACCCAGATCCCCCAGGTCCCTGGTTCAGTACTCTAACCAGCATGCCACACTGCTTAAAACAATATCCTGGTTAGGTAGACAAATTGATGCACAAAGATAAACCAGTGTGGATGGCCATGGATGGCCCAACAAAATAGCCAAGAAATTCCTTAGCTGTGTATCTGGGAGGAGTGCGGGGGGGGGGGGGGGTTTAAGAAGTTTAAAAAGGTAAAGGTTTCCCCTTGACGTTAAGTCCAGTCATGCCTGACTCTAGGGGGCGGTGCTCATCTCTGCTTCCTAGCTGAGGGAGCCAGCGTTTGTCCACAGACAGTCTCCGTGGTCATGTGGCCGGCAGGGCTAAACACCGAGGTGCAGGAACGCTGTTACCTGCCCACTGAAGTGGTACCTTTTCATCAACTTGCATTTGCATGCTTTCGAACTGCAAGGTTGGCAGGAGCTGGGATGGAGCAACGGGCACTCACCCCGTTGTGCAGATTCAAACAGGCAACCTTTCGATCAACCAGCCCAGCAGCACAGCGGTTTAACCCACTGCGCCACCTGCAGCCCTGGAGCACTGGAATTGATTGACAAAAATGTGTAGGTCAGATGGCTGCTGCTTTGTGCTAGGAAAGTCTATTGATCCCTCTGGCTGGATATTCTCTGTGCATCCCAGGGTCTCACAGAGGGTGTCATGTCACCTGCTCCCTGACACATTTAACAGATGTCCAGGTTTGAACACAGGATGTGAAGTTTGTATGTGAAGTGCATGATCTACCACTGGAGCAACGGCCCAAACAATTAAGAATTTTACAAGTCTGCAGTGAGGACCATGCCTGGTGAGGGTCGACTTGACATGCGGAAAGGACTTCACACTCACCGGTGCTCTTGCAATCCCAGCAGCAAGGAGAAGAGGGAGAGAATATTTGCGTCATACTTAAAACCTTTGTGGGGTGCATCATGTCTCCCCAGAAGCAGGGAACCCCTTCACATGCATCCAGAGATCAGGGTGTAGAGGACGGATACTTTGTGTCCAGGAAATGTGTACAGCCATGTTCAAACATCCATATATTTTGGATGATTTCCCCCCGAAAAAATTCACACAATGAATAAAGATTGAACTCTTAGGGAAACCGGGGGGGGGGGGGGGGGATCTCTTCCTGACTAGTGTCCAAAAATATCCCTCACACACAAATGTCCTTTTGTCTATGGAAGATGGGAAAAAGAGGGGAATAAAGTGGGTGAAGAAATGAGATCATTTAAATAGGAGGGATTCTGAAGCATTCAGACTCAGTGTCGTTCAGGGCAGCTCCCTCAGCCTGATGCCCTCCAGGTGTGTTACGTCACAACTCCCACCATCCCCTGTCTGGTTGGGACTGCCTGGGATTGCCGATCGGTGCATCTGGAGAACCCTAACCCTAAGCCTGCTCCGCCAGGAACTAACGTAGCAGTCCTGGTCAAGCAATTTGCTTTCAACCCCAAGTCCCCGTTTTTCACAGGGATTTGATGCAAGGATAGTCACCTCTCCCTCCCTCCCTCCCTCCCCCTCCCTCCCCACTGAATATAAACCCACAAAGTCATAACTCGATGTACAGCTGAAAGGCAACACAAGGCGCCTTCCACGTCGCCTGCCGCCCTTTGTTTGCCGCTGCTGCCGCCTGCTTGCTGGCCGTCACCTTTATTTTCTGGGCCACAGCAAGGTGTGCGTGAAGAAGCAGCTTGCAACGGTGAGGAGCAGAGGAGGCTCTTTCTCAGTGGTCCTTCGCTGGAAGGGGGGCCTTTAGCAGCTGCCTGCCCAGGCTGCCCCTCAGCGCTGACCCAAAGCAAGTGGGGATGCAAGGCGCTCTTAACTTACGATCAGGGGGAGTTTACCACCATTCCGGTACAAGTGCAAGTAACCCAGGTACAGCACCAGAGCTCCTATGCAGTACAGGAACACAAGGACTGCAAAAGTGACGAAGAATTGCGCGGAGGAGGAGAAGTTCCCCAGCAGGAAGTACTTGTCCCAGGTGAGGTTGCATTTGTTATGCTCTGGAAGTTTGAAGAAAACTGAGTTCAACCTTGAGTTCAAGAGGGGAAGAAGCAAAACACGAAAATTTACTTTTCTAGTGACAAGATCTCCAAAAAACAGGAAAAACACAACATTCATAATAGGGCATTTGGCATGATATAGTTGGGGGTGGTTCTAGCATGCACTCGTGAAATTCAGTATCCGAGGGCCAAAACTTGATGAGATGCTGTAGCTGCATAATCAGATATTTTATGTAAAAAGGACATGGGGAAACAGGAGGAGCAGCACAGAATTGTGGAGTAAACACCCCATTTTCCTCTGCCCTCCCATGGTTGCGATGTGCCATCACTGGGAATTCCTCCAGCAACTGCTTTTAAGAGAAACATAACACCTCAAGCAAGACACCTCAATATTAATCTTCAACCTGTCGTCTAGTTTGGCCCTTAGAACTTTTTTTCTTTTAAAATGTATGTTTCTAGACCTCATGATTGCTGAGAAAAGCTATTCCTAGTGAAAGGACAGGTGCCAGAGGAAGGCTGAGAACATCGAGTTGCCATGCCAAGCACAGCTACCCTCCCTGTCCCAGGACTTTTACACCTGTCCCCTGCCTCTATCCTTCCTTGCTCCTTTATCGTTCCATTTCCTGTTCTGTTTCACCCATCCTTGCCAAAAAGCTTCCACAAAACATTCACATCATAATGGCTATGGAGAACGCACCAGGAAACACGAACATAACACTATTCCTTTAAAAGTACCTGTGAATTAGCGAGGAACAGCAAGGCAAGTTTACTTGTGTTTTCAAAGGTCTTACCTGAAAGGGTAGGCAAAAGACGTCTCTAAAGTCAGGTTCTGCTCAGTACACTTTAACTGGACGGAGGTTTTTCCACTGTAACCTCCACAGGTGGCAAATGCAAAGATAGAGAAAATCTGTGAAGGACAAGACAACAGAAGAGGAAAGGTGCATTGATGCCATGTACATGGGTGAGTATTTACAAAAGAGGAAGTAACTGCATTTCCCAGGGTCTTCTCAGTCACATCCACAAGCAGTTCTGTGCAAGCCACTGGTGCACTCGACCAGCAGACCTCCTGGGGGGCTGTCTGGAGACCCCTTCTTGCGCTCCTGCTCTTCTCTAAGAAACCAGGGGGTCCCTTGAGGTTAATGAGGGAAGCAAAGGGAGACGGTACCACAGACAATATGAAATTGAAGGCGAAAGGAATTGACCCAAAGCGCCAGATGTTATTAACCCCAGTCCCCAAACCTCTACACAAGGGGGCACTGAACACCTGCATTTTGTTTCCAAGATTTTAATTTATTTCAAAGATTTTTAATCGACCTTTCAGGCACACTGCCCTCACAAGATGGCCTATGATATGTTGGATGACAACTGCCATCTTTAAAGAGTGAAGGGACATAGAATGCTCTTTGCAGGAACTGAGGTTGGAGTGTCCACATAAACATGCAACAGTGGATTGACTTACAAGACTCAACTCCACGCCGTGCTACAGCTACTATTCTTGGTCTGATTCACTGCCTTATTCTTCATTTCACAAAGGAAGTGAGTTGAGGGAGGAATTGCAGAATATCCAGCGGTTTTCATTGCCTTATGCCTTTATGAACTTCCTGTTCTGTACATGCCAACACATGCATTACCCAATTCATGTCCTATTACTAGAATGCTGTACACATCAGCTTTGCCTGTGCTGGGGCACTACATTAGCACAACTCAAACGATCACATCTCAGCTTAACAGGCTGGGATATACCTAAGCCATGCATAAAACCCCTTCTTCCCTTGTTGGTGCCCCAAAATTAAATCAGAATTTTCTCTCTAACATACGTACCCCCATGTCCAAATTCAAAAATAATGGCTACCATGCTTGAAACAAGCCAGGCCCTTGCAGCAACTTCAAACCATTGTTTAAGATCTACCCTGTTTAGGACATGGCGAGCGTTGTTTCCTAGTTTGGAGCCTATGGATAATTAGGACGGAAACTGAAGGTTTTTAATTTCAATCACAGCTTAAGTGGGCTCCAGGGGATGGTAGACGACAGGAAGGCCTGGAGGAATGTTGTCCATGGGGTCGCGATGGGTTGGACGCAACTTCGCAACTAACAACAACAACAACGAGCAGCATACAACTCATGACAAATCAGGATTCTCTGGTTTTCAACAACATCTACTATGTTGAGCATGCATTTTAAGGATGATACTTAGAACTGGACATTCTATCAACAACAATGGCTGAAAAAAGAAACTAAGTCCATCTTGTTAGACCAGTTGCTGGTCTGTCCCATTCAAGGGTGAAGGGCAGCATGTGTATAGTCCATTTGGTTTGGTGTTCAAATGTTTTAATACATTTGCAAGAGCTTTCATGGCAAAGAACCCCAAAAATCAGGCATTTAAGTGGAACGGTAAACATTAAGTTAAACAGGACACTGAAAAATGGTTGAACAAGCAAATTTGCAGGAAACATTGTGTCTTCTTAAAGAAACAGTCACAAACCATGAAGTGTTCTGCAAATCTTTATAATGTGCACAAAACTCTAGTCAGTACTAAGTCCTGATTAATACACATTTCCTTATCTCTTGCCCTGCGACCTTCCATTCTCAGGAAACCCCTGATTTCAGTTTCTTTAACAGAAATTCCTCCTTAGCTCAGGAGGAATGTGCTATTTCAGGGAAAGGATTCCTGGTATCAGCTTCCACGTGAACTATTGCAAGAGCCACGGAAACAAAACGTTGCATCAGTGTGGCCGCATTCCTAAGAATGGTTACCTAAGAGCAAGCTGCAGAGGCAACTGAACCACTTCCACACGACTTGCCCCCGCAGACTTTTGAGGATCCGGTGGCAGGACAAGGTGCCAGACACAGAGGTCCTCTCCAGAGCAGGCCTGCCATCAGTTCACACCCTGCTGATGAAAGCCCAGACACGCTGGGCAGGCCATGTTGCAAGGATGCCAGACCACGCATCCTCAAACAGCTCTTCTATGGTGAGCTGTCTCAAGGAAAGCGATCGCACAGGGGACAAAAGAAGTGATACAAAGACACGCTGAAAGCCTCTCTCAAGTCCCTGGTTATTGACACCACCTCCTGGGAGACCCTGGCACAAGACCGATTGACATGGCGCACACTGATCCACCAAGGCTGCCAAACTTCTGAAGCCAGAAGGACAACCGTAGCACAAGAGAAGCGAGCGCTCCGTAAAGCCAGAGTTGCAAACGCTGCAACAGTGGTGCCCACACATGTCTGCCTGACATGCGGCAGAACACTCCATGCCCGTATTGGCCTTATCAGCCACCTGCGGACACACCGTGGACAACTCACAACCCGTTAGATGTCAACGTCCTCATCGAAAACGAAGGACGAACATCATCCAGCAGCTTAGAGAACCACAAAATGTCCCAGCCCTTCGCAGTTCAATTCCCTTATGCACTGGCAAAAGTCAACAACAGGGCATTTAGTTTCAATCCCCACCCCCCACCCCATTTGGGCATCCATAAACCAGGGCTCTCTAGCCTTTTTGGTTTGATGGACACATCTGGAACTTTGCGAGAACATCATGGGAGATCTCACAAAGTAACTGGCCAACACTCATTTTCTAGAAGGTGAACAGGTAGAAATAGTGAGGCTGAATGGAACGTCCCTTGCCCAAGGTACTGAGTGCATGCAGCAGAGGTGGGGTCTCCACTCCAAAGCACAATGCTGCTCTTTTGAACCCGGACCAGGATGGCCCTGGAGGGCAGTCCTTCGCTTTGCAATATGCCAGCCCTGCATTTTAAACTACAAAAATAATAGAAAATAGGCACCAGAGGGTCAGGCAGTGTTGCAGGCGTGAAGAAGCAGATCCACCTGCACGCTGGTGCCCAGGACCCTTACTATGTACAATTTTGTTTCCTCTTTTCTGACGCAGAGCCCCAACCCGAAAACTTTAAGCCCGTGTTCTTCAGAGACATCTTCCTGCAGTGCACAATTCAAAGGCTATGACATGCTTGAGAAAAAGGGCAAAGCTGGCTATGTGCTCCGGGGGACGCATGGAACATCCCGGGCAGAGGTGGAAAGAAAACGATAAAATTCAGGGCCAGCCCAAGGCATTTTTCCATCTATGTTGAATGACAAGATGCAGCTCTTCCAAGCCAAATGGACTGGCAGATGGCCCTTATATTAACACTGGCAACGAGACAGCATCCTCCACCACAACAGAGGCTAGCTTAGGGGGCCCTGAACAAGCCACAGGGCTAGGCTTCAGCCCATCCTCTAAGGAAGAACAGGCAGGAAACTCATCGGGAATAACCTGCTGCCTCAGGTGGTCCTTCCACTTTCCCTGTGGTGCAGCAGGGCAGAACATCGGGCAGCGGGACTCCTTTCCCACTTGGTGGTTCTCTGGCTCTTATGCATTCCCTCTATAAAGCCTAGCAGCAGGAGCATTATGCTAAACAGCTGGTATTGTTGGCTCCAGTGCTCTTAGCTCTGCTCACCACCGAAATGTGGTCCCCAGAAGCTTCTGTGAAATGGAACTTGGCCTTCAGGCTGAAGGATGTTCTACATCCTCGGTATGGCATTGGGATCCTAGGTTCAGCAAACAGGTGCATCCCACTGAAATGGAGAAAGCTCCAAGGCCAACCCCTGTTTTTAGTCTAGTAGATTAGAGGAAAATTTGACAGTTTTTCAGAGGACAAAAAAAATTAAAAGTCTTTTTTATAGGGCTGCCTAATTTAATCAGTACTTTTAAAAAATCCTCAGCTGATAATGTCACAGGTTGCTTAAACAGCAGATTCTTTGAAATATGTTAATACATATATTGATTAGAAAAACTACAGATGTCAAGTCCAATGGTAAAGGAGGCATCCCCTTCTGTGTGAGAGAAGCAGGAATGCCTCTTCAAAGACGATGCCTTTCACTTTTATATTCTGTGTTTCCTTTACAGACCTCCGAGCAGAATAAATGGTTCTTCTTTCCCACCACCCCATTTGCCTTCCTAACATTCCTGTAAGTTAAGGTTCGGTAATAGATAGTTAGTCACGCTTCATTCCAACTGAAATCAATAGTACCCACGTTAACTTTGCATATTTATCCCAATGGGAACTAAGCAGAATTAGTCTGGATCCAAGATCACCCAATGAGCTTCAGAGCCATGCTCACCCGATGGTCAGAACTTGATTCCAGCCTTTTCTGGTCCTACTCCAGTGGTGTAACCATGACCCCACACAAGCTCTCTGCTGTGATTGCAAGCATCGTCTTGGAGCTAGAAAACCATGTGCATTCTAGAAATGATCCACAGTGTTAACCAGAGTCATTCTTGCTTCAGAACTTTTTTAGCTAAGTGAAATTGTGTGAACAGTGACACAGTTATATGCATGAACTGTAAGGGTGTTCAAGGATAGGCTAGACATGCACATGGGAGGCATGTCGCGAACGGAGCCACCTGGAGCCGAGGGTCAGACTAGATGGCCCAGGAGATCCCTTCTGACTTTCTCTGTTTCTATGTCTCCTCAAAAGTATATTTCATTAAACCCCAAGGGTCTCACTCCCAAATCAATGGGTATTGCAACCTTAGGAGCAGAATAAAAGGATAATAAACAAGCTTCAACTAACCAGCAAAAATTCATTCAATTCATTGACTACTTGCTTCTATTTATTCCTTCCCCTTCTCAATAAGCTGGCTTTACCAAATTTTGATCACAAACGGCTAACCTGGTCAAATATGGAAGAATTCTTTTATGCTTCTATTGAAATACGCAGGCCTATAATGACCTTTGATGTTCACATTTTCCACTGTAAAGAAACGCTGTTAACAGGAAAGTCAAAGGCTGGGATTAAAACAGCGCTGCAGACATGCCTCCAATGACCTGAGAGGGGAAAATATTACCATGGGGAGAATGCTCATATCTGCATAGGTAGATGGAATGAACTGTTGGATCATCTTCTCCTTCCTTTCTGATAAAGGATTCCTGCTTTCAAAGCAAACATGTTTTATTTAAAAATACAGGTTCCCCTCTTCTGATCTTCCTTGCAACAAACAGTCATGGGATCTTTCAGCCAGGAGCCCACAGTAGCTACTGGAGATGAACCATCCTAGCACAGAGCTCATTTAGGTGCCTTCCAGATGTTCTGAACTTCCAACTCCCATCAGCAAGCTCATGGTGCCACATCTGAGCCAGTGAAATACTTTGAAACAGTGAAAACACAACTGATAGCATAGCTGATAGGTTTGGAAAGGCTGAAGTAAACCATGTCCTCCAGATGCTGGTTGAAAGATGTTGGGAATTGTAGTCCAACAAACTTGGAAGGTGCCAGTTGGAGAGGGCTGGGTTGTACATGTTTAAGAAGTCAGGAGATGATTAAGGTGAATATGATGATTATAACCCCACAAAATTAAAAAGTTGTAGGCTGCACCAGAAACACTGCATCCCAGCTCCAATCGTTCACAGCAGAGATGGGCAGCCTTGAAGCTCATGGTATCATTTTTATTTTTTCTGCCTCCTAAGCCGCCTCCCAGAAGTGAAACCACACGCAAAATAGCAGATAGAGACAGCTGCAAAATAGCGATTCAAGAGATACTATTGGTTGTTATTACACTGGGGAATACAAACTTATATCAGAGCTATGACAGAACAGCATCTCTACTAGCATAATTTTACTCTTGAAATGTTTTTGTGGTTGCTATTTTTAAACAACTGGGGGATCTGAAACATTGTCTTCAAGTTACCAGTAAACTCTGATCTATCAACCTGTCAACAACACAAAGTAGCATTTCCTCAAACGCTTCTACACACAGCACAATACTCTCCCCTAAACACAAACGCCATCCCCTTTTACCTCCTTGCAGCCCAGGAAGGTGGTTCCTGTGCAAGACTGTTTGAGACCCAGCCTCCAAGTCGCCTCCATAATTAGTTCATGCGCATGTCTAGTATGGGCACAAATTCAACCACACCTCACATGGAAATGAAACAAAGTACTTTCTAGGGGAAGGGTTCATTTTCTCCTCTTGTACAACCCTACACACAGCAGAAAGGAAAATGCCCACCACCTCCAGGCTTACACGAAAGCCACACACAAGCAAGGATTCAAGATTTCACTTTACAAAGCAGTCACAGTCACCCTCCAATTCTGGGGACTCCGGAGAATCGCCTGTTGAAAACCCACGAGCAGTAAGACATGCGACCATTTCTGTGTGCATGTCTCCAATTAGTGCCTCAGTCTCTCCAAACTGCCTTCCCCACGTAAGAGGAAGGTCAGACCCCCTGAATAAATCAGGGAGACGCTGAGTTTACCCCAGCTGTGCTGCCAAGGATCTGCATCAGCATTTGCCAAGCCAAGTAGTATGGGCATCAGCCAAGCTGGCAGGGGATGATGGGATTTGCAGTCTGACCCATCCGCAGGGCCCCAGGTCGGGAAGCCTGGTTCCCAAGCATGGGGGAAGCAAGCTAAGGACACCAAACTGAGATTGTGGTTAGAATGCTACACTGGGATTTATGAGATCTGGGTTTGAAATCTTCCCTACTCAGCCATGAAGCTTTGGGCCACTGACTAACCTACCTCACAAGGCTGTTGCGAGGATAAAATAGAAGAAATATAGCAGTCGCCTTAGCTTCCCCGCAGGAAAAAAGACGGGATATAAATATAATGCATAGACATGTAGCAAAAATCAGCACAAGCAAGATGAGACAGTCCATGAATCCAGGATATACCTCAGCCTAAAATGAGGCCCTAAAGGACAAGTGTAACTCCAAAACGGCTTTGGCAAGTAAGCCAAGCTTTTCATACTAACAAGTTCCAGCCGCTCAACTAAAAGTGACGTGATCTGGACCAAATTCAAATTCAGCCACTCAGTTCCATTTTGTCTTCGGCAGAAGGACAAGCAAGAATAATCTCTCCTCGCCAGCCCTATTAGAACACAGCTTACGCTGAAACGAAATCAGGCCGGATCTAGCTCCACCCCGAGTCCGGCCCAGGGCGTTTACACGACCTACGGGCACCCGATCCCTCGCTTGGCACGAGCTAGTAGCCCTTTAAGCGTGGAATGCCCGCTTGAATTCTGCGTTACGGGCCAAGAGGGCCAAGCAAGCGGAAAGCTATTCCAGATTCATGAAGCCCATATTTTATATGTTACCCTTGAGCGCGATTCGCCCCCCCCCCCGCGTCCAGAGTCCCGAAATGAAGCACATGGTTTGTTAAGCGACGGAACAAACATCCCCACCCCGCAACGGCCGTGCACGGCGCGGGGGGGGGGAAGCCCCCTCAAATAGATCTCCGGGAGGGGGCGAGCGGTGGGACGGACGGCCGTCTCCCCCAGCACATAAATCCAGAGCAGCCCCGAAAAGCGCAGGCCGGAGGCCACGCCTGTGTTTATAAGGGGAGAGAAAGGCAGGCAGGCAGGCAGGAGTTCCGAGCGCCGAGCGCCGCGGGGCAGGCACGGCCTGCGGCGAAGCTTCCCGTGGGGTGGGCCGGAGAAGGGGGGGCCCCGGGGCGGCGATCGGCCGGCGCGAAGCCCGGGAAGGGGCCCCGATGATCCCTCTGCGGCCCAGCGCCGCGGCGCCGCGCGCGGCCCGTGCGCCCCCTGCCCGGCGCCGGCGCGCCACTCACCCACTCCAGCACTTTGATGAAGCCCAGCGGCTCCTTGACGGGCGCCAGGCTCAGCTGCGGCGCGGACATGGTCGGCGAGGCGGGCGCGGGGCGCGGCGCGGCGAGGAAGGCGAGGCGAGGCGAGGCAGGCGCGGCGAGGAAGGCGGCGGCGTCGACGCTCCGTGCACCGCGAGGGGAGGAGCAGTGGCGCCCGCCCGCGCCCGCCAGCCAGCCAGCCAGCCAGCCTGCCTACCTGACGCGCCCGCCCCGCCCCGCGCCGCCCCGGACCGCGGCGGGAACGGCCGCGGCGAGCCCTCGGCTGGCGCCCGGCCCCCGCAGCCGCCCGGGGCTCCCGGCAGCGGCGGCCGCGGCACCCTGGCCCGGCTCCTCGCCCGGCTCTCCCGCTGCCGCTTCCCCGGCAGGGCGGCTGGCGGCCAGTTGCTGCTGCGCCGCAACCCTCCCTCGGCCCGGAGAGGCGCGTCGGCGTCTCTGCCGTATCCAGTTCCGTCAGGTGCCCCAGCCACCTGCCCAAAGGTGGTGCGACCCCCCGCAGAATCCGGAACTGAAGCTCTTAGGATCCTCCCCCCCAAAAAAAGAGAGAGAAATTTCCGCACGCCAATTTCCATTTACAAAGTCTGCAGTAGAGAGAGTGAGAGTGTGCAGGTGAGTTCGTGTGTTGAAGGAGCTCCCTCGCCTAAGGATATCAAAACCTCGGGCGGACAGGTTCACGGGGGAAGCTCGTGCGGCCAAAAAGCCGGCTAGCCCGGGGCAGAGGCGCGATGGGGACCGGGGCACCTGCACGGTAAGTGTCCGTGGGCCGCAGGATGGTGGGGCAGCGACCTGGGGCGCCGAATACTCTGCCCCGCAGCCCGCTAGGAAGCGGCAGGGCAGGCCTTCTCAGCGTCGACATCTGTCCTCTCCAGCTGGGGTGCTGAAACTTCTGTCAGCCTAGATAGTAGCCAGCCTGGCCGGGGATGATGAGCTTGTAGTCTCGGACCTTTGTAGGACACCAACTTGGGAAAGGCCAGTCTGCAATCGGCACAAGCAATAAATCCAGAATGGGATGTGCCTCAGTTTAAAAACAGCATGATTTTTTAAATTTTTTTGACTGGGTAAGCTCCCAAAGAACACATTTTGGTAGTTTAACTATGGAGGCGGGGGGGCGGGTAGGAAACAACTATGGTAGTTAAATTGATCTCAGACTGGTTTATAATGCAGCTGGATACTCCTCTGCCAACTTCATTGTTGACAGAGGTAACTTCCATTCAACTTGCTTGGGTTTGCCTCCAAGGAAACATTAATAATCTGCAAATATTGCAAATATTGACATAAGATTGTAGTACATGGCTTGCTGCAGCAGCTCTGCTCTTTCCCATCCCTTTTAGACTATTCTTATAGGAATTAGGCTGCCCCCTGGGAGTAAGGAGGACCACTTCTACTTGCTATGGCTTCTATGGCCAAGAGGGGGCGTGGTGGCATTTAGATGGGACTTACCTGGGAGGAGGATTGGGTTCCCAGCTCTTCAGGGATGTGGCAGGGCAACATGGTGGCTGCAGGCAGAGTGGAGGGAAAGGGGTTCACATCTGTGCACTGCATCATGCTGAACCTCTAGCCCTGTTATCTCCCTGGCTTGCCCATTCCTGGTAAGTGGGCAGGCCAGGAAGAACCAGAGAACAGCCAGCTTCTGGATGGCAAGATCCATGGCTTATGCCTCCCCTGATTGTATTCAAGACGAGTAACAGTGTAGGCGATTGAATAACCCACCCCAGCCTGCCCCTTAACTCAGGTTCCTTTCAGACAAGTATAAGGGCCAATGTTTGGGCCAGTCACTGTCCCTCAGTCTCACCTGTCTCACGAGCCACGCCGCTGCTATCGGGGGAACACTGAGGTATGTTTGAAATAAAAACGAAGATCTCTGAGAGGGGGAAGTTCAAGTGTTGCAGCCACTGTTTTGAAATGCTAGCAACATTTTCATTCTGATTATAATGCAACTAAGAGCCAATGGGGCATGGTCTTTGGAGTATTGAATACGGGATGTGGACTCAAGCCCCTGTTTGGCCGTGAAGCTCAGTGGGTGCCTTGGGACCAAGCACTGACTCTCAGCCTAATCTACCACAAACGGAGTGGATGAGGAACGGGTAAGATGCCTTGTTCCTTGCAAGGTGACAGAAGGTGGGATATAACAGCTGGCAACCTTGGGCCTTTGCAGAGTGAAAATAACAAAGGAAGGGAATCAGACTGGAATTATATTTCAATTATTTTGTGAGGCAGTTTCAGAAGGTTTAGGGGCCAATCCTATGTACACTTGAGAGTAAACCCCACTGAATTCAACGGGATTTAGGTCTGAATAAATGTGCATAAGATGGCTACCTGATTTACTCCATGGTAAACTGAGTTCAGGGTGGGTGTTTTGCAATAGGTGTCCACTGGAGTGCAAACAGTACAAACCTACTCAGAAGTAAACCCTATTGCATGTGCATAAGATTAAGTTTTATTAATGCTTTAATGTAATCATCCGAATTACTGCACTGCTGGGATTCTTTTCCCATCTCAGTTGGAGGTAACATTTGGCAGAGCTTCAAAGCACTACAACAAGAAGGGAAAGAATTTCTGTGCTCTGCCTTTTAGATATAGCGGTACTAAAAAATTATCTTTTGGATTTATACCCATTTAGCTAGCATAGCTTTGTCCAAATGATCCGGGAACTGAGAGTTTGATTCTGAGGATTTTTCAATTTTGACTTTGCCCTTCCACAAACAAAGTTCAGGATTCCCCAAAGAGGGAATTACTGTCACAGTGGTAGCCCTGTCATGTAGCCTGACACACATAGTTTTAACAAACACTAAGACTGTATATCCCGCTAGAAAAATAAATTAACATGCTTATTTTCGGTTCAGGAGAACAAGCCCCTGAACTATTTAGACATGGCTGTGCAGTGCTGAATTATATAATTCAGTAGAATCTATAGAATGGCCGTTTGTGGAGGCTGCAATTCTATATACAGGTGGAAGTATTCTGTGGGACATATTTCCTGTTAAAGTCTCCATACAGGATGGTGTTGGGTGAGTTTGACCTACATACAAAGGCCAGAGAGGTTGGAAAGGGTGGTAGAATCTTAATGGTAAGAGTCATAGGATGGTAGCATGAATGTTCCACTTTAGACTGAAGGTGACAGGGAGGTCGTATTTATTTACTTATTTCTGAAGCTACATACACCAGTGAAATGAATCCTCATTGACATTTTTAATTAATTTTGTCCTTTGATTGTTTTGGGGTTTTTTTTTAAATGGGAGAGTATATAAAGGAAACAACTCCTCCCCCTGCAGTCTGAAATAGTGCAGTCCATTCCGTACTCAGCTTCCTTGTGTCGTCAGAACATAGGAGACCCAATTTTACAACCGGGATTGCCAGGTTGGAAAATGGTTGTTCCTTTGAAACCGAAAAGCACTAGTAAATAGCAACCTGAGCGATAAACATATGGTCAACATATTTATCTTTCCTTCGACTACATTATTTTGGGGCATGAACAAATGGAACACCTCTTCTTCAGCCTCAATCCGTACGCATTTCTACGCTTGGCTCGATTAAGTTCCTCATTCAGGTTTATTACCCGCTTGTTCGGCAGTCGGAAAAGCTGTTGCTCATCCTACGATAGTCTCAACTCTCGCTTCGTTATCAGTCCGGATATCTTTGCAAGCGTTTTCTTTCTCGCGCTTTTCTTCTTTGGCAAGGGGTTTAGCAAATCAGAGAAATGCACAGGGGCATGATTGATTGATTGATTGATTGGTATTTTGTGAACGTCGTAGACGTATCGCATTCGTGCGATCTTCATTCATTCTTCCAAAACTTTGGCAACTTTTAAGCGCGGAGCCAGATGGGACTTGTAGGCTGACGTCGCTTTCCAGGATGACCCTGTCAAGCGGCAGACCTGAGGGGGAAGCGTCCCCCGGCACTTCGCAGAACCGTATATCTAAGCAGCGGCTGCTAAGGCAGTGGCCTCTGGTTGACTAAAGCAACACCATCTTCTTCTTCCCCGTTCCGGGATTTATGCACGAGAGAACACTTCATGAGCCGCACCGTCCAATAACTAAGAAAAATTCCAGACTTCAGCTCCCAGAATGCATTTAGACGGGACCATGTGTTCGCACTGCATGATGGGAAGCTTAGTTTTGTTGTCGCGCCTTCCGTCTCAACCTGAACGCGAAAGGGATTTACTCCCCCATTTGCCGTTTGAGTGTCGTCGTCCTCCTCATTGCAGCAGTTCTCGTTTCCTGCTGCAACAGTCACCTCTTACCTTAAAGTCCTGACTAAACCTGAGTTTTATTTCTCAGACGTACTAGCAGAGCCCTCGACACCTTCTGAATTCTTACGGGAAGCAACCATTACAGTCGACTCCATCGCCCACCATGCCTGAGGGCTGCTGAGCATGGGTGAGGCCGCGCCGCCTCTTGGGAGAAGTAGTTCCTCCCTTTTACCGCCTTCATTTTATACGACAGGGGCAGAGCTTCTCAGAGAACTCTTCTTCCCACCGTGCAGAGCGCTGTTAGAGCTCCGTTTCCGTGCCGCGCGGTACGACGAGCACTGTAGTCCCCTTGCCTCGCATCCTCTCTCCAGTCTCAATGCAAACCCAGCCACCGAGAGACTCGGATTCCCAAGCTGCTCCGCGCCCAAGGCAGAAGGCTCTTGTAGAGGATTGTTATTGTGGCGGCCCGGCCCCTTTAGGATCCTCTCAGTGTTTAAAGATGGCGGCTGCGGCGGCGGCTGCTGCGGCGGGAGGCGGCGGCGGCTCCTCCTGGGCCTCGGTGCCGCGGGGCCGCTTCCCCGGGCGGCCCGGCGGCTGCCGTGCACGGGGCGCCGGGGCTGGGAGTCGCGCGCGAATCTCTCTGCTGGCTCCTCAGCTGCTGCTGTGGGCCGCCTCGGGGGACGGCGAGCGGGCCGCGGCGGCGGGGGACACCACCCTGGGGAGCCTCCTGGGCCTCAGCCGGAGTTGGCGCCGCCTGCAGGGCCTGCTAGGTGACAGCAGTGGCGGCAGCAGCAGCAGCGGCGAGGAGGAGCCGGTGAGATTCCCGCAGCTGGTGGTGCTTGGCCCCTTTGACAAGCAGGAGGGCGGGCGGCTGCGGCGCCGCCGGAGCCCGCGCTCCCATGGGCCCGGGTGTCCTTGCGGGCGGGGGGTGCTTCTGTGGGGCTCGGCGCACCGCTTGCGCCCGCGGCGTGGGCTAGGCTGCAAGCGGGGCAGGTGCGTCGGAGTCACCCTTGTTGCCCTCTGTGCCCAGGATCCGGAGGCGGGCTGGATCAGGCGCCCGTGCTCAGGTTCCTTGGACCATGAGTCGATGCCCTTCCTCCATAGATTGGGTGGAGGTGGTGGTGTTGATGAGAGTTTAACAAGCTTATGATGGAGCTGAGTGCGATTCCTGTGATGGGGTTGAGCGGCAAGCAAGTCCATCTCCCTCCTTGTTCTCAGGGCTTGGAGTTGAGCTGGGCTTGCAACTCATGTTCTGGTCCCTAGGCTAGAGCTTAGGCGCCCTTACCTAGCAAGAAATGCCTTGATGAGGGTGAAGATCCAACTGGCCCTCCTTGAGCTGGGCCTTCCTACACTGTGTCTGTAAGGGAGATAAGTTAATAGGACTGCTTTGGTACCACATGGTGATTCTGAGAGGCCCACCCATGATGGGGACTGTAAACCTTGTCTTTGGAGTAAATGCCACTGAGCACTGGGGAACTTGACTTTTGAGTAAATGCACCCAGAGTTGCAATTGACAAGGGGCATCCCCTGACTTAGGCCAGAGGTGCTGTCAAACCTGCCTTTCTTTTGTGTGGTTTCTGCCTGATGCTGTGAATGGTGTATGCAACTCTTTCGGGTGTGGTGGGGTAGTCATGGTGAACAGATGCCAGTCTCCTTGGGGGAGAGGCGGGGAAGGGTTTGCCTGTGAGCTGCCGTGTTGTTTGTGGACAGCTGTTCTTTTTCTTTCTATTGGAGGTGTTTTTATAATGTAAGGTAGCTGTTTGGGAGGGAGGGCCTAGTCCCTGGGTAGGTGGGGGTGTGACGTGATCACACATATGGTGCTTTTGTTCCTACCTTGGTCCTCGAAAGCTGATCTTCTGACAGTGCTTAGTCACCTGCTGCACCGTCACCTGCTGCACTGTCTCCTCCTCCATCTTCAAATAATCTATTCTCTAATCCTGCTCATATGTATGTATCATTAAACACTTTGGCAAAACTAGCCTAATCGGAGAGAGCTTTTCTTTCAAAGCACTTGATTGTTCATTCCTGCAATTTGGGCAAATCACTTCATTCCTGGAAGGGGCAAACCATAATTGAGGTAAGATTCTTGCCATTCATTAGAAAGCAGGAAAACTGGCCTGAGTTTTTGTAGGTGGGAAGGATAGCTTTCCTCTTGCTCTCCAGTTCTGATGGAAACACACTAAATTGAATAGCTGGGATTATGAAGACTAGATATGTTAAGAAAGAGGTTGCTTATGGCAGGACTATGCTTTGTTCTTCACAATTATATGCCTGTCTCAGTTGCTTGCAAACAAAAAAGTTAAGCTTCTGAAATCTTGATGCAGAGCAGCATGGGATATGAGCATTTAGCAGAGGCTAAAACTGAAACTGAGGTAAGAACCATCCCATGAACTGACTAGCCAACCTGTATCTGAGATTTATTTTAATAAATCTACAAGTAATGTGTTACTTTTTTTGTCCTTTTAAATAGAAATTAACTGCATTTCTAATTCAGGATTTCTGCAATAGGATTTTCATTTCTGTTTGGAAGACCTGGATGCTCCTGTCACTAGTTGCAAAAGCCTAGCTTTGAAATTCAGCATATCCTCAAAAAATATAGTTTCCCTTGCAGCTTGAGGCATGGGTGAAATTGGCATGGGCTACCTGTTGTTTTGTAACTAACTGGAAAAGCAGCAGCATGTATATCTATGTTGCTAACTTGGGGTGGTTCTCTCTAGAAAAGTATTGGTATTGTGGTGAGTGACCATTTTAATGTTGCTGATCTTATATTCATTTTCCTTTATGTTGTTGCTCATCTAGATAGAACTAATAGTTTTACCCCATTTCAGGCTCCATGCAAATAAATTAACAGTTAAACAGACTGAGAGTTTTCAGTCTGCAGTTTATGGATGGCATAAGGGAACAGGAAAACAATCCTTTCTGGAAGTTGCAAGGTAGAATTATTTCATCCTACTTCCATATTAAAATGTAATAATATAAACCAGGGTGTCTGAGAAAAGGCCTCTACCCTTGCGTTCTTCCTGATGCTGGTTTCCTACCTGATAGAGTTTATTACTCTTATTATATTGTATCAAGGAGTGTTGCCATGATCCCCCCCCCCACACACACACACCTGTAGTCTAAAATAATTTAGTCCAGGAAAAAGTTTTATCGCTACCTTTGCTTTATAGGCATTATGTTAGCGTACATCTTTACATGTTGTCTGCTTTTGGGTTCTGGGGCTGGAGCAGGATAAGGGTTACCAAAGGGTGTGTTTTAGCCTCCTAAGCAATGACCAAAGGCTGGGTGCGTTAAGCCATTGGCCTTCTAGAAAAAGCTAAAAGGACCAGACCTGACTGAAGACAAATTTGTTTTGATATCCAGGTCCTAAGCAAGCAGTTTGAAAATATTTGATGTATGTAATTGGGCTTTCCTTTCAGTGGAGTACTTTACTTCTGAAGAGCTTCTGACATGCCCATGGAGAAAACTCAATGGAAAAAGTTTACCCATGGAACTAGAACCCTGGCCAAAATGCACACAAGACCAGGTAGTGACCAGGGGTGTAACCTGAAAGAAGCTTGGCAGGTGGGCAGAGTGCACTGGAATATTATGGCCTTTGTTGGGAGTAGCTTTCTGATCTGCAGCAAGACTTGGTGAAAATCAGATCACTTCAGGTATAATTCTAGGCATGTTCGATTAGTGAAGAATGCTGGCTGGGGAACACAAGGAACTTTAGGACTTAGGTTTCTCCCTTTCAGTGATTAACTTCCTTATAGTTAATTGAAGACTAGCTTCCATCCCTTGCTGATGGCTGTTGCTGTGTATCCACGTTGGTGTCAACAACTTCAGAGACCCTGAGAACTAGCAGGCTCCATAGTCTTTGAACCTGTTGGACTATGTGGTTTTTGATCAGCATGCCAAGGATCAGGATTCCACAGTAAGCTCAGTCATGGTGTGTAAGTTTTTCCTGAAAGGCAGCTTTCCCATCATACCGATTGTCATGCAGAATGCACAGCACCTTTGGGAGCACAATTCTGCTTGCAAGCAAACTTCTGCATAGTTGCATTCCCTCATCCCTGATGTTCAGGCAAGCTTTGTTTTCTTGCAAAATCAGAAGTTTTGCCACTACTGCAGCAGCAAATTTGGTGACAATCATGGTGGTGGCAATTGCAGAAGCATTTTGAGGAGAACAATTGCGTTTGACCCTTGGTTTCTGGAGGAGCAGTGTGCTTACCCCTAGATATTGCCTAGTCCTGTCTTAGAGCAACTGTGAGGCCCTCAGGGTGCTTGAAAACGGGTGCACCGCAGCATCCACTCCAGAATTCTTTGCAATGTGCAGGTAATCCTGGGCAGGCCAGTTAAGGTGGAAAGTTGGTAAGCTGCTGCTCCAGTCACAATGTTTGGGATTCAGGGTTCTTAATATGCTTCCTGATGACAAAGGAGATATGAACTAGGAGTAACAGCTGAGGTTGCTTTTAAAACACCCTCTAATTTACAGGCAGTGCAGAGAAGAGTAGATCCCTTTATCATGTCTACAGCTGGGCATAATATCACCAGCTTCTCCTGCATGTATAGGTAATCCCTACAATATGAGCACCCTTACCCCGTCCCCTGAAAACCAAATACTTAAACCCATAGCATTGGTGCATGTTCTGCATTTATATCTTCCCCCTTCCACTGAGCATGGAAGCACATAAAGAGCCCTTATGTTCTGCTTTCATTCTCAAGAAATAATGTAAAGGAGTTAATACCACCAGCAGTGTAGCAGCAATGGCAGCGTAGTCCCTGAACTTGCTTATACCACACCTGTTGCCTTACTGCTGGTGATATGCGAGCATCTTTTGCTTCTCTGGTGCATGCAAGAGCAATTGCCTCAGCCTTGACAAGTGTATTTTTTGTTTCCACAGGATGGTTCTACATGGGTGGGTACTGGGAGCATCCAAGAGAAAGCAATTTTCTTACACTGATACATTGCAGCTATTGAGAAAAGTTTCAAAATGGGCCAGTGGTGCCTGATGGAGGGTCAAACGGAACTGGAAGCTTGTGCAGAATTTTCCGTAATCAGGAAGTTAGGAAAAATGTGTTATGCATAGCTTGTTACTAGAATTGTGTTCTCCTCTGATCTGTCCACACTCTCTCAGTACGTTCACACCATTAACTGCCTTTGCCCTCTTTTTGCCACCAGAATCCTCCCAAACACCTTAAACCAGCCTTCCCCAGCATGGTGTCTTCCAGAAGGTTTGGACCTCAGCTGCCATCAGTTCTAGCCAGCATGGCCATTGGTCAAGAATGCTGCGAATTATATTCCAAACCATCTGAATAGCAGCAGGTCGGATGAAGGCTGCCTTTAAAAAACCCGCTCTTGGAAGTAGGGTAAATTATGCCTGCTACACCCATGAAATTGGACCTGGTTCTCTTTGTAACCATGTAACAAGTTTCTTCACAAACTTGCGACCCCAACAAAAAGGTTTACTAACTAACCTTTTGCCTCTCTACCCATGCTAGCCATCGATAACCCATTTGGCCTCAAAGTGGGGGAAATCCTCAAGTGGAGGAAAACAAAACACTCCTGTTGAAATTTATGGTTCTGCTGCCTGGGAAAATTCATACTTGCCAGAGAGCTCCAGGCAAGTTGCTATTCTATAATCCTGCTCTATTAAATTGTCCTTGGAGCAGAATTTGTGTGGCACTTGTGGTCTCAGCCTTGTGAATATCTACTGGTAGTAGCTACTGTGGTGCATGTTGGTGTGTATTTTCTGTTAAGAAGTCAATGTGCTTGGTATACCAGCCTGTATATGCCCAGTAACAGAAGTGGCCAGGCATGTGAAGATAAAG